TGGGGTGTAAGCAGAAGTCCTCAAGGCAGGGATTTGGGTGTAAGGGGAAGCTCCCAGAGCAGGGATTTTAGGGGACATCTGGGACCAAGATTTGGATGCTATGTAGGGCTCAGTGGAACAAGGATTTGGGGTCTAAACAGGTCAGGGTGCTTCTAGGGGCAAGATTTAGGTGATAAATAGGGGGTAAGTGGGACAGAGATTTGGGGGGGCAAATGGATGGTCCAGAGATTCTCTGTAAATTTGACTTAGGTGACAAATAGGGCTCAGCAGGGCAACAATTTGGGAGTGCAAGCAGAATGTCCAGGGAGTCTCTGGGACAGAGATTTGGGTGCCAAGTGGTGATCAGCATAGAGCATACAGAGGGAAGGAAAGGAGTTCCCAGGGGCTTTGGGGGTCCCTGAGGGGGGCTCAGAGCCTCTGTGGGCCTCACACTCACATGTCTGGCAGTCCTGTTTGCCCTCACCCCAGCAGTGCCCCTCGGCACAGAGCGCCCGGCAGTCGGGACCTGCACAGGGGGCAGAGTGAGCAGGGGGTGCCAGGAGGGGGCTGGAACTCCCCCAGAACCCCCCTGGCAGCACAAACCCCCCACTCACAGCTGCGGGTGCGGGCGCTCTCCACCTGGATGTCGGCACGGAACTCGTTGTGCCGGTGCAGGATGTCGCTCCACAGGATGGTCTCCTGGAAACACAGCTCGGGGTTCCTCTCGATGAGCACCCCTCCCTTCAGGATCTCTGTGCGGGGACAGGTTGGGGGGTCAGCATGAACCTGCAGCTCCCACTCCTCGGTAGGGAGCCGGGGAGCACCCAGAACTTTTTGGGTTCCCAGACCGGAGCTGGCAGCTCCCAACGGCAGGAGCAGCAACCCACATATCCGAATATCCCAGACAGGGCTTCCCCACCTGTGAGGTGCCTCATGCCGAGCTGCCGCAGTCCCGGTGCCCCGGCGGGGCCGGCGTTGCCCAGCACGGCCAGGGCGTAGCGCTCCTGGAAGAGCTGCGTGCCGCGGATGATGCGCAGGCTCTGCAGCTCCAGCCCGCTCACTTGGTTCTCCGCGATCAACACGTAGCCCTGCACCTCCTTGATGTCCTGCCATGGGGGGGACGCGGGTGAGGGGTCGGTCAGAGCCTCGTCTTTCCCCCCTTTGGGGCGTTTTAGCGCTGCGCACCTTGAGGAAGGAGGTGTCGGCGTCGGCGGGCAGGTAGGTGAGCTCCAGGTTGCCCTGCACCACCTGGCAGCCCTGGTACAGGTGCCGCAGGGTCTCGTAGTGGCTCTCGGGGCTGGAGGGACGCAGCAGCTTCATGTCGGTGCCGGTGCAGACTGTGGGGACAACGGGGGCTCAGCGGGTCCTCCTCTCCCTCCATGGGACACACACGGAGCTCCGGCCCCCGCAGGAAACGCCGCGGGTGCGGCGGCCGCCGTTTATCTCCAACAGCTTCCGATGGGTTTCCTGCACCGAGGCTCCCCCGGCTCCCAACCCCGGCAAAGCCCGACCGGGCCCCGCTCGAGGCACAACGGGGATCGGTGCCGCCCCGTGCCCGCAGCGGGGGCTGGGCTGGGACCCCCAGAGCGGCGGGGCCGGAGCGGGGGCCTCGGGCAGGAATGCGCTGCCCACGCCGACACAAGACCCGATTGTTGAGCGGCGACGGCTGCGGGGCCCAGCCGGCCCCGTCCATTGTGGGGGGCTCCTGGCCGGGAGAGCATCCCCGGGCGTCCCGGCGGGGCTGGGGGGGTGCGGGAACCCGCGCTGGGCGCCGGGCCCCGGGCGGGTGAGTCACGGGCGCGGGTGGCACCGGGCCCCGGCCGCCCGCTCCCGGCTGGAACCGCCTTTTCAGGTCGGGCGTGTTTGGGGAGCAGCGGTGACGCAGGGCTGGCGGGCACGGCTCGGCACGGCACGGCCCAGCCCCGGCGCGCCCGCGGCCCCCGGCACCCCAACAACACCCAACACCCACCGGGGAGAGCCCCCCGCACCGCACCGAGCCCCGCTCCCCGCGCTGACCCCGCCGACACAGCGATGTCACCCCCAGAGCCGTCCCAGCACGGGCAGGGGGCACACGGGGGTCTGGGGGGGCTCGGTGTCCGGTCCCGGCTGCTCGGTGGCTGAGTGACAGCCCCCGGTGCTGGGCAGCTGCCCCGGCTGGCACTCGCCTCCCCCGCCTGCTCCGAGGCCTCTCCGAGCCGGGGAAAACACGGCCAGGAAGGAGGAAACCCCCCTGAATTTGGGGTTCGGCTGTGTCCCACCCGAGCGGGGTGAAACGGGGGGACCCGGGAAGGGGAAGCGTGGGGCGGCCAAAGCTCAAGGTCTGCGCCCACACCTGCCGTGAGAGGCGCGGGGTGCTGGGGCTTCCCCGGGGCAAAGGGCGGGTGGGACAATGTGAGGATCCTGATGGGATCCCGGCTCTGTTCCCCCCGATTTGGGTTTGGGTGCTCGCCCAGCTCCCCTCTGGGCACCGGGCAGGGCAGGGACTGCTCGGTCCTGCCGGGCTCACCCAGCGGGCGGTGCCAGCACCGAGCACCGGGGCTGCCCACGGGTGTCCGGCCGAGCCACGTGCCCACGGGGCTGTCCCCAACCACGAGCTGGCCCCACACAGGCCCTCCCAGCACCGTGAGCTGTGGGCTGTGTCCCCACGTCCCCGTCCCACCACCCCACACCGAGCATTCACTTTCCAAACTCCGACACGAGGAATGAGGCAGCAGGGTCCAATTTTGGGGCTGCCGGTGGTGCCCATTTTGGGGCCACCAGCGCCGTGCCCTGCTGGCCCCGTTCCTGCCCCGTTCTCGCGGAGCGTGGCCGAGGCCCGGGGGCTGTCGGGCTGGGCTCCCCGCTCCCCCCGGGGCTGGGCTGGGTGCGGCACGTCGAGAATGTGGATGGGAGCGACAGGGACGCACCCACCCACCCACCCAGCCAGCCGCTCCCGATGCCCACGGGGAGGGAACCCCCACAAGTTGGGGACCCCCGTTCCCGTTTCTCCCGGCGGTACCGGAGCCCTGCGCGCTGCACCCCGCTCCGGGCTCTACCGGAGCCCCTAAATCCCTCTCGGGAATCGTGCAGCTCGGGGGGACCGGGGTGAGCGGGCAGGGCCTCCCGCTGGGCCCCAGCGCCTCCCAGTCCACACCAGTTCGGCTCCCAGTCCTGGTGGCCGCAGGGACACCGGGGTCGCGCTGCCCGCGGCGGGGAGAACCGGGGAAACCCAGGGGGCACCGGGAGAGGCGGTCCCGTCTCTTCCAACCGTGCAGCCCCCGGTTCCCCCCGGTGCCCCCCAGAGCTGCCCGGTCCCACCCCCGGAGCCCCCCTCGTTCGCAACTCGAGGCCGCCACGCTCCCCTCCCGCTGCTCCCTCGGTTCCCCCCACCGTCCCCTCCCGGTTTTCCACTCGGTCCCACCCTCGATGTCCCCCCGGTGCCCTCTCGGTCACGCCCCCCGTGTCCCCCCCTCCCTTGCCCGGTTCGCCCTCCCGGTGCCCCCCCGGTCCCGTGCAAAACTTTACGCGAAGTCGCCGCGCGGGGCCGGAGTCCCCCCGAGTCCCGGTGTCCCCGGTGTCCCCCGGTGGGACTCACCTTCGGCGGCGGCGGGGGGGCACGGGGCGGCCAGCAGCAGCAGCAGCGCGGCGCCGAGGCAGCCCCCGGCCGCGATCATGGTGCTCAGCACGGCCCGCGGCCCATGGCCCCGCCGCCGCTGCTCCGGGAAAGTTTGCGGAGCCGGAGCCGCCGCCTCCCGCCGCTCCCGGGCTCCGCCTCGCGATCCCGATCCCGGTCCCGGCCCCGGGCGAGGGCGCGCCGCGCGCTCCCGCCGCCCCCGCGCGCTCCCGCCGGCCCGGAGCAGGACAGACCCCCCCACGACCCAGCCATCCGCTTCCAACCTCCCGGAGCACCGGGAATGTCCCGCCCCGGACCCCCCTTCCCTGCTCCCGAGCACCGGGAATCACCGCCGTGCATCCACCGGGAGCACCGGGACCCCCCGGTTCCCCTTTCCCATCCCCATTTCCAGGGGGGCTCCGACCCCACTTTCCACCCCCCGGAGCAGCAGGAGCCCCGAACCCCCCCGGTCCATCCCCGCCATCCCGGAGTGCCCCGTTCCCCGGTGCTCCCCAGCCCCGGGGTCCCGCTGCGATCCCGGAGGCGGGGGTCGCCTGAATGGGTGGGGGGAGGACACGACCTTCGTCCCCGTCCCCTCACCGGGGGCTGTGACTGCCACCCATGAGGGGGAGTGGGACAGAAATGCCACTTGTGGGTTTGGGGGTTCAGTCCCAGAGCTGGCACCCCGGAATGGCGCGGGGGGCTGGGGGCTGTTCTGGGGGAACAGGGACAGTCCAGCAGCACCTGATGGGTCCCCAGTGGGGTGACCAAGAGCTGGCACCTGTCCCCCACCTGTTCCACCTTTGCCTGCTGCCCTGAGCACACAGAGAATTGGGATGGGGGGTCCTCCACAGGTGGGGTGACCCCATCCGAGCCCCCCGGCAAGGCAGAGCCAGGAGCAGCCGGGATGGGGGACCAGGATGTGACCCCCACATGGGGCAGGTTCTGGCCCCCATGTACCCTTGGTCACCCCAGTCTGTGCTTCTACACGTGCCACCGAGACTGCCACGAGGCAGGACCCCTCAAAAAGGGGACACTCGGTGTTGGGGTCCAGCCTGCCATGGGGACAGGATCCAGCACATCGCTGTCACCTCAGGCCAGGCCGCTGCCGGGGGTCCCGCATGGCCGGGACCACTCAGTTCCTCAAGCCGCGCTGCCCCCGTGCCCTGAACCGGCCCCGAGCACCGCAGGACACCCGAGGGTCCCCGTAGGACACCGGAGGGTCCCCGGAGCGTCCCCGCAGTGGCCGGGATCCCCGGGCCCCATGGGGGGATATATCCCATGAGCCTCAGCAGAGCGTACAGGGGGGATATATCCCATGATCCTCCACAGAGCGTACAGGGGGGATATATCCCATCACCCCCCGCGGCCGACGGGGGTGGTATATCCCATAGTGCCCCGCGCCGCCCCCCATCTCCGGGGCGGGCCGGAAACGGCCGGGCCGGGCGGCGATGGCGGCGCGGGCCGCGCTGCTGCTGCTGCTGCTTCTCATGGCGGCGGCAGCACCGGGCCCGGCCCAGGGCTCGCAGGGGGACCGGGAACCGCTGTACCGGGAGTGCCTGAGCCGCTGCGAGCGGCAGAACTGCTCGGGGGCGGCACTGCGGCACTTCCGCGCCCGGCAGCCGCTCTACATGGGCCTGACAGGTACGGCCCCCCTGCTCTTATTGGTTGGCAGACTCGGAGGCCACACCCCCTCTGGGCGGGCCGCATCTATCGGAGCCACGCCCCCTGACTGGGAGACTGGGAGGGACTGGGGTGGAACTGGGGTGCGCTGGGTGGCACTGGGGGACACTGGGGATGTGTTAAGGGTCACTTGTCCTGTACTGGTTGTCACTGGGTCGTGCTGGTGGATACTGGGCTGGTTTTGGTCCATACTGGGAGGTGCTGGGCTATGAAGGGGGGTCACTGGGAAATACTGGGGGGACACAGGGCCATACTGGGGGATCACTGGACTTTGCCAGGTTAGGCGTTGGACCATCCTGAACTATCTGGAGGGACATTGGGCCGTTCTGGGGGGTCACTGGCCCATACTGGGGGATTACTGGGACATGCTGGGGGGTCACTGGCCCATACTGGGGGATTACTGGGACATACTGGGGGGTCACTGGGACATATTGGAGAGTCACTGGGACATACTGGGGGCTCACTGAGCCATACTGGGTCATGGTGGTTTGCCCCAGTGCCCCTCAGTTCATGCTGGACTATGAAGTGGGGTCACCGGGCCATACTGGGGGAGTCACTGGGCCATACTGTTGGGTCACTGCACCATACTGGGGGGGTCACTGGACTTTGCCAGGACAGGCATTGGGCCATCCTGAACTACCTGGAGGGACACTGGGCCATACTGGGGGCTCACTGGGCCATACTGGGGGGACACTGGGCTGTACTGGGAGCTACTGGTCCATGCTGGTGGTCACCATGGCAACATCTGGGCTTCCTCCCAGATTGCTCAGTGATGCTGGGGGTGCCAGGGGGTGAACCCCAACCTTTCCCTCCCCCCTGTGCTGGGCTGGGGCACTCCCATACTGCATACTGGGAGGCACTGGTGCAGACTGGGAGGTACTGGGGAGCTTTGTTGGGCTGTACTGAGGCTGGACTGGGAATCCCTGGGGGTGTCCCTGGTGCCACGGGGTGAAACCCATCTGCTCCCCCTGCCCTGCGCTGGGCTGAGGCACTCCTGTGTTGCCCTGGCGCATACTGGGAGGGACTGGGCCATACTGGGAGGCCCTGGCTCACACTGGTGTGCCCCCCCAGGCTGGACGTGCCGGGACGAGTGCCAGTACGAGTGCATGTGGCTGACGGTGCGGCTGTACCAGCAGGGCGGGCACCGCGTGCCGCAGTTCCACGGCAAGGTCAGCGCGGCCCCGGGGGGGCTGGGGGGCGCTCGGGGGTCCCCCCGTGCCCGCTGACCCCCCCCCAGTGGCCGTTCTCTCGGTTCCTGTTCGTGCAGGAGCCGGCCTCAGCCTTGGCCTCGCTGCTGAACGGCCTGGCCAGCCTGGTGATGCTGCTGCGGTACCGGGCAGCCGTGCCCCCCGCAGCGCCCACCTACCCCACCTGCACCGCCTTCGCCTGGGTGAGCCCTGCCCCTGACGGCTGGCCTCCTTTTCACATCCTTTGCCCATCTTTTCCCTCCTTTATCCCATCATTTCCCTCCCTTTTCCCATCCTTTTCTGTTTTTCCCCTCCCTTTTTCCCCCTCCTTTTTTTCCTCTCCCTTTTTCCCCATCCCTTTCTCCCATCCTTTCTCATTTCCCATCCTTATTTCCCATCCTTATTTCCCATCCTTATTTCCCTCCCTTTTCCACCCCTTTTCCACCCCTTTTCCACCCCTTTCCCACCCTTTTCCTGTCCTTTTCCCTCCTTTCTCCCTCCTTTTCCCTTTCCTTTCCTTCTCCTTTCTCTTTCCTTCTCTCTCTTCCTTTTCCCTTCCCCTTTCTTTTTCTTCTCCCTCTCCCCTCCTTCCTTTTTCTTCCTTTCCCCTTCCCATTTCCACACTCTTCCCCTTCCCTTTTTCTCCTTTCCCCTTCCCTTTTCTTCCTTCTCCTTTCCCGTCCCATTTCCACTCTTTTCTCCTTCCCTATTTCTCATTTCCCTTCCCCCCTTTCCTTTTCCCCCCTTTCCCCTTTTTTCCCTTCCCCTTTTCCCCATTTCCCTTTTTTCCCCATTTCCCTTTTTCCCCATTTCCCTTTTTTCCCCTTTTCCCTTCTTCCTTCCCCTTTCCCTTTTTCCTTCCCCTTTCCCTCTTCTCCCTTTCCCTTTTTTCCTCCCTTCCCCTTTTCCCCTTCCCCTTTTTTTTTCCCATTTCCCTTTTATTTTCCCCATTCCCCTTTCTTTTTTTTCCCCATTCCCACTCCCCTCACCCCCCATTTGAGGGGGTCCTGACCCGGTGGGGACCCTGCCCCACATCCCCCCACCCCATAAATCCCAAATTTTCCCCTTTTCCAGGTCTCCTTAAACGCCTGGTTCTGGTCCACCGTGTTCCACACCAGGGACACGGCGCTGACAGAGGTGAGGCAGTGCCACCCCCAGGGTGTCCCCAACCCCGAGGGTGACACCCCCAGAGTGTCCCCAAGCCCCTGGGGGTCCCGTTCTAGGCCCCCTCCCCAATTTCCCCATCCCAAATCCCACAGAAACTGGATTATTTCTGTGCTTCGGCCGTCATCCTGCACTCCGTGTACCTGTGCTGCGTCAGGTGGGCACTGGGCGAACTGGGGCAAACTGGGGGGGACTGGGAACAGACTGGGGGGGACTGGGGCAAACTGGGGGGCACTGGGGACAAACTGGGGGGCACTGGGACAAACTGGGGGGGACTGGGGACAGACTAGGGCAAACTGGGGATGGACTGGGGCAACGTGGCGGGCACTGGGGCAAACTGGGACAAACTGGGGGGGACTGGAGCGAACTGGGGAGCACTGGAGGGGACTGGGGGGCACTGGGGGGGTGAACTGGGGTGGCACCGGGGCAAACTGGGGGGGACTGGGGGGCACTGGGGATGGATTGGGCGGAACTGGGGGGCACTGGGGCAAACTGGGGGGACTGGGGTTGAACTGGGGGGCACTGGGGATGGATGGGGGATGCTGAGGATGGACTGGGGGGGACTGGGGATGGAATGGGAGGAACTGGGGGGCACTGGGGCAAACTGGGACAAACTGGGGGGGACTGGGGTTGAACTGGGGGGCACTGGGGACAGACTGGGGAGCACTGGGGTGAACTGGGGGCAATGGGGATGGACTGGGGCAAACTGGGGACGGACTGGGGCAAACTGAAGGGCACTGGGAATGGACTGGGGGGCACTGGGGCAGACTGGGGAGCACTGGGGGCAAACTGGGGGGGACTGGGGGTGAACTGGGAGGCACTGGGGGTGGATGGGGGGGCACTGGGGCAAACTCGGGGTGACTGGGGAGCGCTGGGGCTGGCTACAGCTAGACTGGGGAGTGTACTGGGAGGCACTGGGCTGTACTGGGGAAGGTGCTGGCCTCTCTTGGGCCAGTTTGGGCATCACTGGAACACCTGGGAGGACCCTGGGCCGTACTGGGAGGACCCTAGGCCATACTGGGAAGACCGTGGGCCATACTGGGAGGTGCTGGGCCATACTGGGAGGACCCTGATCATACTGGGAGGACCCTGGGCCATGCTGGGAAGACCTTGGGCCATACTGGGAGGTGCTGGGCCATACTGGGAGGACCCTGACCATGCCCCTTGCCCACAGGACGCTGGGGCTGCAGCGCCCAGCCTTAATCAGCATCTTCAGAGCCTTCCTCCTCCTCTTCCTCGCCGGCCACATCTCCTACCTGAGCCTCGTGCGCTTCGACTACGGCTACAACCTGGTGGCCAACGCTGCTGCTGGTGGGCTGGGGGCACTGGGAGGGACTGGGAGGGACTGGGATGTGCTGGGGCTGTGTCAGGGGTCAGTCTGAGCCCCCCTGTCTCTGAACCCCCATTTTCCCAGGCATGGTGAGCAGGGGTTTGGGTATCCCCACATCCCTGAGCTCCCCATTTTTGTGGAGTTCTGCCCAGGGGTTTGGACACCCCCTGTCCCTGATCCCCCTCGTTGTTTCCCCAGGAATTCTCACAGTGTTTGGACACCCCCTGCCCCTGATTTCCCCTGTTTCCCCAGGAATTCTGACTGGGCTTTGAGATGTGCCTGTGTTCTCCTGTTTTCCAGGAATTCTGACAGAATTTGGGCACCCCCTCTCCCTGATCCCCCTTCCTGTTTTCTCAGGAATTCTGACGGGGGTTTTGTCCCTGATCTCCCCTGTTTTTCTCAGGAATGTTGAGCACCCACCTGTCCTTGATCCCCCTCGCTGTTTCCCCAGGAGTTCTGACTGGGGTTTGGGCTGTGCCTGTGCTCTCCTGTTTCCCCAGGAATTCTGACAGAGTTTGGGCATCCCCATCTCCCTGATCCCCACTGTCGCCCCAGGAAATCTAACTGGAGTTTGGGCACCCTCTATCCCTGATCCCCCTCGCTGTTATCACAGGAATTTTGGCCGAATTTGGGTACTCCACTCTCCCCTCTCTATTCCCCAGAAGTTCTCCCTGTGCTTTGCCCACCCCCTGAGCACACAGTGCCGCTGTTTTCTCTCATTTCCTGTGTCCCAGGCACACTGACAGTGTATTCCCTGTGTGTTTCCCTTATCCCAGAGATGCTGACAGTGTATTCCCTGTGTTTCCCTTATCCCAGGCACACTGACAGTGTTTCCTTTGTCACAGGCACACTGACAGTGTTCCTCCTGTGTTTCCCTTATCCCAGAGATGCTGACGGTGTTCCTCCTGTGTTTCCCTTATCCCAGGCACACTGACAGTGTGTTCCCCTGTCCCAGGCACACTGACAGTGTATTCCCTGTGTTTCCCTTATCCCAGGCACACTGACAGTGTGTTCCCCTGTCCCAGGCACACTGACAGTGTATTCCCTGTGTTTCACTTATCCCAGGCACATTGACAGTGTTTCCCCTGTGTTTCCCTTATCCCAGAGATGCTGACAGTGTATTCCCTGTGTTTCCCTTATCCCAGGCGGGCACACTGACAGTGTATTCTCTGTGTTTCCCTTATCCCAGGCACATTGACGGTGTTTCCCCTGTCCCAGGCACACTGACAGTGTTTCCTTTGTCACAGGCACACTGACAGTGTTCCCCCTGTGTTTCCCTTATCCCAGACACACTGACGGTGTTTCCCCTGTCCCAGGCACACTGACAGTGTTCCCCCTGTGTTTCCCTTATCCCAGGCACACTGACGGTGTTTGCCCTGTCCCAGGCACGCTGACAGTGTTTTCCCCTATCCCAGGGATGCTGACGGTGGCGTGGTGGCTGCGCTGGTGCCTGCGGCAGGGCCGGCGTTTGCCGCACGTGTGGAAATGCGCGGCCGCGGTGCTGCTGCTGCAGGCGCTGGCGCTGCTCGAGCTGCTCGACTTCCCCCCCCTGGGCTGGGTGCTGGACGCCCACGCGCTCTGGCACATCGGGACCATCCCCCTCAACGTGCTCTTCTACAGGTCTGTGACACCCCAATTCTGTCCAAAATAAAATTAAAAATAGGAATATGGGGCTCCCCGTGTTCCCCAGGGAGGTGCAGGGGTGCAGGGGTTTGGGGGGCTCTGGCACATCGGGACCATCCCCCTCAACGTGCTCTTCTACAGGTCTGTGACGCCCCAATCCAGTCCAAAATAAAAATTAAATTTAAAATTAAAATTAAAAAATAAAACAAAAAAATACAGGTCAGTGACTCCCCCATCGCATTTAAAATAAAATTAAAAATACAGGTCAGCGACCCCCCCAATCCTATCTAAAATAAAATTCAAAATACCGGTTAGTGACCCTCCCACCCAATCCCATCTGAATTAAAATTAAAAGTACAGGTCAGTGACCCCCCCCCATTTAAAATAAAATTAAATAAAATATAAAATGAAAATAAACAATATTAGATTAATAATATTAACTATTAAATATCAATATTAAATAATATTAAATAAAAAATTAAATTATATTAATAATAATAAAATTAAAAATAAATGAAATTAAATGTAAAATTAAAAGTAAATAAAGTTAAATTAAAAACGAAATACAATTAAAAATACAGGTCGGTGACCCCCCACCCATCCTATCGAAAATAAAATTAAAAATAGGGGTGAAGGGCTCCCTGTGTTCCCCAGGGAGGTGCAGGGGTGCAGGGGTTTGAGGGGCTCTGGCACATCAGGACCATCCTTCTCAACGTGCTCTCCTACAGGTCTGTGACACCCCAATCCAGTCCAAAATAAAAATTAAATTTAAAATTAAAATTAAAAAATAATACAAAAAAATACAGGTCAGTGACTCCCCCATCCCATTTAAAATAAAATTAAAAATGCAGGTCAGCAACCCCCCAATCCTATCTAAAATAAAATTAAAAATACAGGTTAGTGACCCTCCCACCCAATCCCATCTGAATTAAAATTAAAAGTACAGGTCAGTGACCCCCCCCCATTTAAAATAAAATTAAATAAAATATAAAATGAAAATAAACAATATTAGATTAATAATATTAACTATTAAATATTAATATTCAATAATATTAAATTTAAAATAAAATTATATTAATAATAATAAAATAAAAAATAAAAATAAATAAAATTAAATGTAGGTGCAGGAGTGCAGGGGTTTGAGGGGCTCTGGCACATCAGGACCATCCCCCTCAAAGTGCTCTTCTACAGGTCTGTGACACCCCAGTCCTGTCTAAAATAAAATTAAAAATACAGGTCAGTGACCTCCCCCGGTCCCACCTAAAATAAAATTAAAATACAGGTCTGGGACACCCCAATCCCATCTAAAATAAAATTAAAAATACAGGACTGTGACACCCCCAATCCTATCTAAAATAAAAATTAAATTTAAAATTAAAATTAAAACATTAAATTAAATAAAAAATGAATTAAAAATACAGGTCGGTGACTCCCCCCAATCCTATCTAAAATAAAATTAAAAATATGGTTCAGTGATGCCCCCATCCCACTTAAAATAAATTAAATTAAATATAAAATTTAAATAAACAACAATTAATATTAATATTAAATAATATTAAATAATATTAAATAATATTAAATATTATATTTAATTATACTAATAATGATAAAATTAAAATTAATAAAATTAAATAAAAATTAAATAAAATAAAATTAAGTAAAAAATTAAATAAAATAAAAATACGGGTCAGTGACCTCACCTCCCTCTTTAAAATAAATTAAATAAAAGATAAAATTAAAATAAATAAAATTAAATAAAATTAAAAATACAGGTCAGTGACCCCCCCAATCCTATCTAAAATAAAATTAAAAGTAGGGGTGAGGGGCTCCCTGTGCTCCCCAGAGAGATGCAGGGGTGCAGAGCTTCCCCCCGGTATTTGTGGGGTTCTGCTGGGGTCTGGGGGTGCTGGGGACTCTGTTGGGGGATCCCTCTTGGAATTGGGGTGCTCAGCACCCCCTCAGTTCCCCATGGGATGTTCTTTCCCCTGTGCCATGCCCAGACCCCCCCCTCCCCACCTTGAAATGGGGGTGCTGGAGGGACCCCAGGCTTGCTGTGCTCAGTTTTGGGGTTCAAGCCCCCTCTAAACCCCCCCTTTGCCCCCCCAGTTTCCTGATGGACGACAGCCTCTACCTCCTGAAGGCCAACTCCGACCTCTTCAAAGTGGACTAGAGCTGCTGGGGGGGGTGGGCAGAGCCCCCCGTGCCCCCCCAGGGCTGTGCCCTGCCCTGTGCCAAGCAACGCCCCAGCCCCCCCTGGCCACGGCCTCCTGACCCCCCCGTTTGCCTTCCGAGGTTTGTGGTACCCCCCCAGACCCCCCGTGCCCCCCGTGTGGGCACTGAGGGGTCCAGGAGAGCTGAGAGCCCCCCAAACCCTTCCCCATGCTGAGCTGGGGACCCCAATGGGGTGACAGTGGCTGTTTGGGGACAGGTGGGTGATTTTGGGGGGTCTGTGTGCATGGGGGGGCTCTGGCGGGGGTGGGGGGTGTTGTGTGGGTGCCTTGGGGCTGGGGGTGCCCCCTCCCAGCCCAGAGGGGCTGTGCCCCCCCCATTTCCCCCCTCCCTGGGTGTGTTGTGGGTGTGAATAAAGCTGAGTTTAATCTGTGAGTGCTGGGTTTGGGTTTGTGTCCCCTGTCCCAAGGGCCCCCCGTGCCCCCCAGTCCCCGTGTCTGTCCCCCACTCCACAGTGCACCCCATTCCCCTTTGCTGTCACCCCATTCTCACCCTGCTTCACTCTGTCCCACCCCGTGTGCCCCAAAATTCCCTCCAGGTGTCCCAAAGCCCCCTCAGTGTTCCCAAACCCCCTCAGCACACCCCACATTGCACCCCTCACCCACCCCATCCTCCCCCTGCCCTGCACCCCATTTCCCACCCTGCTCTCACCCCCGTCCCCCCTCTGTGTACCCCATTCTCCCCATCCAGGGGTCCCTGAGCCCCCCAAAATCTCCCTGTGCACCCTCCCCACACCCTGAGCACCTCCATCCTATGCCACAACCCCAGTCCTTATTGTCACCATCCCCTGCCCTTTATTGTCACCATCCTGTGCCACAACCCCAGCCTTTATTGTCACCATCCTGTGCCCTTTATTGTCACCATCCTGTGCCACAACCTGTGCCCTTATTGTCACCATCCCCTGCCACCTTTATTGTCACCATCCCCTGCCCTTTATTGTCACCATCCTGTGCCCTTTATTATCACCATCCTCTGCCACAACCCCAGCCTTTATTATCACCATCCTGTGCCACAATCTATGCCCTTATTGTCACCATCTTCTACCACAACCTCAGCCTTTATTGTCAGCATCCCCTGCCACCTTTATTGTCACCATCCTCTGCCCTTTATTGTCACCATCCTGTGCCCTTATTGTCACCATCCTCTGCCCTTTATTGTCACCATCCTGTGCCACAACCTGTGCCCTTTATTGTCACCATCCTGTGCCCTTATTGTCACCATCTTCTGCCACAACCTGTGCCCTTATTGTCACCATCCTGTGCCCTTATTGTCACCATCTTCTACCCAACCTTAGCCCTTATTGTCACCGTCCTGTGCCACAACCTCAGCCCTTATTGTCACCATCCCCTGCCCTTTATTGTCACCATCCTGTGCCCTTATTGTCACCGTCCTGTGCCACAACCTCAGCCCTTATTGTCACCATCCCCTGCCACCTTTATTGTCACCATCTTCTGCCACAACCCCAGCCCTTATTGTCACCATCCTCTGCTGCCTTTATTGTCACCATCCTGTGCCACAACCTCACCCTTTACTGTCACCATCCAGCCTTTATTGTCACCATCCCCTGCCCTTTTTTGTCACCATCCTATGCCACAACCCTGGCCCTTATTGTCACCATCCTCTGCCACCTTTATTGTCACCATCCTCTGCCCTTTATTGTCACCATCCTGTGCCCTTATTGTCACCATCCTTTGCCCTTTATTGTCACCATCCTGTGCCACAACCCTGGCCCTTATTGTCACCATCCTGTGCCACCATTATTGTCACCATCCAGCCTTTATTGCCTCCATCCCTCCCCACCCTTGGCACTGCGGAGCAGGCTGGCATTTCCCGCCCATTCCCCAGGGATTTCCCGGGAATCCCCCTCACGTTTCCAGCGGTTTTTGCGCGTGGGCGAAGAACACGCCGTCCACATCATCCACGCCGGTGCGGAGCGCGGGGGGCATGGCGTAGGAGCGCAGCTCCCGCAGCGCGAACCCCGCGGCCGCCAGCGCCTCCCGCACATCGGCCTCCTGCAGCGGCACCACGGGCAGCCGGGTGGGACCCGCCAGGTAGAAGGACTCGCCCAGGGCCCCCAGCAGCACAAGGTGTCCCCCCGGTCGCAGCAGGGTCCCCACGTGGCGCAGGGCCCGCAGGAAGGCGGCGCGGTCGGCGCTCACGGCCTCCAGGCAGAAGGCGGAGAGCAGCGCGTCGGCCCGGGGGCGCAGCGGGGCCCCCAGAGGCTCCGGGCGGTGAACGTCGATGGGCAGGATCCGGCGGAGGCGCTGGCGGAGACGGCGCTGTTTGTCCTGCCAGGGCTCGCTGGGGATGGGGGGAATTGGGGAGTAAGGGAAAAGGGGAGTGGGGATGGGGATGGGAGGTGTGGGGAGGGGATGGACCCAGAAAAACGCGGGGATGGGGGGTGGGATTGGTCCAGACAGGGATGTGGGGATGGGGTCAATCCAGTGTCCATGGGGATGTGGGGAGGGGATGGACCCCGAAAAACGCGGGGATGGGATGGGATTGATCCACACAGGGATGTGGGGATGGGATCAGTCCCATGGGGATGTGGGGATGGGGTCAATGCAGTGTCCACGGGGATGTGGGTATGGGATTGACCCAGTATCAACAGGGATGTGGGGATGGGATCAATCCAGTGTCCACGGGGATGTGGGTATGGGATCAATCCAGTGTCCAAGGGGATGCGGGGAGGGGATTGACCCCGAAAAACGCGGGGATGGGGGGTGGGATCAGTCCAGACAGGCATGTGGGGATGGAGTCGATCCCATGGGGATGTGGGGATGGGATCAAGCCAGTATCCATGGGGATGAGGAGAGGGGATCAACCTGGCACCCAGGGGAGTGAAGGGATGGAATCGATTTGGCACACACAAGGAAGTGGGGATGGGATCAATCCCACAAACAAAGGGAGGTGAGGATGGAATTCTGCAGGGATATGGGGTGAGATGGTGCAGGGAAGCAGGGATTGGGTGGGCATTGACCTGGGACACACAGGGAGGTGGGGATGGGATCGATTTGGCACACACGGGGATGTGGGGACGGGATCCTGCAGGGATGTGGGGTGGGATGTCCATTCCAGAGCCCACAGGGACCCAGGAGCAGGATCCTGAGGGGATCAACCCTTCACCCACAGGCTCAGAGAGAGGATGCCATGGATTTCTGAGGCTGGGATCCTGCAGGGACAGGGGGCTGTGAACCCATGGGGTTTGGGAACAGCGTCTGTGAGGGTGTGGGGCCGTGATGCCAATGGGATTTTTGTGCCAGGGTCCCATAAGGATCCCCTCAGCATCTGTGGGGAAACACGGCTGTGATCCCACGGGATCTACAGGGATCTGTGAGGACCTGGATCTGCAATCCCGTGGATTTTGGGGACGCAATCCAGCAGGGACCACCCCAGACCCCTCCTCCCGAGCCCCCCGAGCCCCCTTACCCGCGCCCCTCGATCTTGCAGACGTGCTGGATGAACGGGCTCCAGTCGAAGGCTCCGGGCTCGCCCCGTGCCCACCGGCCGAGCTCCTCCCTGTTCACCGCCAGGAAATCGGTGGCCACGATCTCCTCGAAGTGGTCGCAGGCACTCAGCAGTTGGTAAATGGTGGGACCCGAGCCCACATCGATCAGCGTCCGCCCTCGGATCTCACCTGGGAAGGGACAGCACGTGTGTGGGAGGGACCCCCACAACAACCGGGAAAACCGGGGAGGAGCAGAGGATACTCCGTGCCTCAGTTTCCCCAACCCACTGAGGATCCCCGGAAAAACCATGGAGGAGCAGAGGAGCTGTCCCTGCGTGCTCCGTGCCTCAGTTTCCCCACCCCACTGGGGGTCCCCACCACCTTCCCCTCACCGAAGGTGTCGGCCGGGACATGTCTGGGAGGGATCCCCACAACAACCCGGGGCACTGGGAAAACCCGGGTGGAGCAGAGGAGCTGCTCCGTGCCTCAGTTTCCCCACCCCACACAGGGTCCCCGGTAAAAACCAGGGAGGAGCAGAGGAGCTGCCCCCGGGTGCTCCGTGCCTCAGTTTCCCCACTCCAATGGGGGTCCCCGCCTCCTTCCCCTCATCACTTCCTTCGGGTGCTCCGTGCCTCAGTTTCCCCAGCCCACTGGGAGTCCCCGGGAAAACCAGAGAGGAGCTGCCCCCGGGCGCTCCGTGCCTCAGTTTCCCCACCCCACACAGGGTCCCCACCACCTTCCCCTCACCGCTGCCCTCGGGCGCTCCGTGCCTCAGTTTCCCCACCCCACTGAGGGTCCCCGGCCGCTTTCCCCTCACCGCTGGCGAAGGTCTCGGCCAGGCATCGCAGCTTCCAGGGCACCACGAACTCCTCGGAGGAGAAGTCGGCTCGGGGCGGGAGGTAATTGTTGCGCAGGTACGCGCGGGGGTCGAAGTGCTCGTAGCCCTCTCGGAGCGCGGCCGGGCTGCTCATGGCGAGGGGAAATGCGGCTCCGGCCCCGCCGCCGCCGCTTTTTATCCCTGCCCGGCCCGGGAGGGGCCGCGGGGAGCCGAGACAGCGCCATCCATCCGCCCCGCATCCCTCCATCCATCCATCATCCAGCCCGCATCCCTCCATCCATCACCCATCCCGCCTAACCCGGTTAGCGCCAGCGCCCCGGAGCCATCCCGGAGCTGATAACGGAGCTGATAAGGGATCCGCCGCTCTTCCCAGGCGCTGAGAATCCAGGAATGCTGTCCCTGTGTCTGGGAGAGTCTGTCCCCACATCCCGAGATGTGGCTGTGACCCCCCTGGGCTGCCCCAGCTCGTGGGGGTCCCGTGGGATGAGGATGGAGAGGGATTGGGAAAGGGATGAGGATGAAGAGGGTGGGAGAGGGGTGAGGATGAAGAGGGATTGAGATAGGGATGGAGAGGGATTGGGATAGGGCTGAGGATGGAAGGGGTGATATAAAGATGAGGATGGAGAGGGTGGGACAGGGATGAAGATGGAGGAGAATTGGGATAACGATGAGGATGAAGAGAGTGGGAGAGGGGTGAGGATGAAGAGGGATTGGGATGAAGATGGAGGGGAACTGGGAGAGGGATGAAGATGGAGTGGAATTGGGATAAGGATGAGGACGGAGAGAGGGATTGGGGTAGGAGTGAGGATGGAGAGGGTGGGATAGGGATGAAGATGGAGGGGGATTGGGCTAGAGATGAGGATGAAGAGGGTGGGAGAAGGATGAGGATGGAGGGGAATTGGGATAGGGATGAGGATGGAAGAGGATTGGGAGAGGGGTAAAAATGGGATGGGGATGGGAAGGCATTGGAATGATGTGGGATTTGGGATGGGGATGGGAAGGGACAGGAATGGTGTGAAACGGGGGTGGGAAAGGATTGGAATGGGATGGGGATGGAAATGTGGAGGGATTGGGGTAGATTGGGATGAGGTTGAGAATGGGAAGGGATTAGAAGGAGGACGGGATTGGGATGGAAAGGCATTGGAGTGATGTGGGGTTTGAGATGGGGATGGGAAGGGATTAGAATAAAATGGGGATTGGGATTGGGATGGAAATGTGGAGGGATTTGGGTGGAATGGGATGGGGAGGAGAATGGGAAGGGATTAGAATGAGGAGAGGATTGGGATTGGGATTGGGAAGGAGATTAGGATGGAAAGGCACTGGAATGATGTGGGGTTTGGGATGGGGATGGGAAGGGATTGGGATGGGCCCATCTGAGCTCTCCATCACCCGTGCTGGACTCAGCCCAGCTCTGGCAGGAGCCAGTGCCACCTCTGCCAGCTCCCAGTGCCCCCAGTGCCCCCAGTGCCACCCCTGCCAGCTCCCAGTGCCCCCAGTGCTCCCAATGCCACCAGTCTCCCAGTGTTCCCAGTGCTCCCAGTGCCCCAGTATGAGGAGCAGGGTGGTTCCCACATTTGGGGCTGGGGGCTCGGTGAGACCCCAAACCCTTCCCGTGCCCGATGTGCAGGGTGAGGGCGCAGGGCCGGGGCCGGGGGAGGGCACAGGGCCTGGCGGGGACCCAGGGACAGCGGGATCCGCGCTGGGAACAGCTAATCTGGGCACTGCAGGGCCTGGCACCGGGTGGGCGATGCGGGGGGGGGGTTATATAACCACAGCCCCCCCCTCACCCACCCAGACCCCCCCAGTGCCATCAGACACCGGGTCCCGCCAGCTGCCGTGCCTCAGTTTCCCCGTGTGCCCCACACACGGTTCCCCTCACCCTAAATCTTGCCCCCCACCCTTGTACCCCCCCCCAAACAGACTCTGCCGTGCCAAGGTAGAGTTTTTGCAGGTTCTTTGCGCGGTTTTATTGCCGTACAAAGAGCGCGCTTTGTACAACCCCCCCCACCCCCCGAGGCTTTCAGCCATCCTCATCCTCATCCTCTCATTCCCTTCTTCTCGCCAGGGAAACTGAGTCACGCCGGAGCTGCCGGGAGCCCCCCGAAGGGCGGGAGCCCCCCGACCCGCGGGGTCCTCATCCCCACCGGCCTCCACCGCGCCCGCAGCGGGCTGGGGTCCCAAGCGATGGGAGCCCACCCCCACCTGCCCCAATCCTTCTTTGCGGGGGGGCGGCTGAGCCCCCCTCCCAGCCCCCCAACATCATCCTGCTGCCCCCCCACCCCGCACCCCGAGCGCCCCCGGCCCCTCAGCCCCGCTGGGCTTCGTGCGAGAGGGAGCGGGAGAGGGTGCGGGGGACGCCGCCCTTGGCCCCGCGCAGGTCCGAGGGGGCGAACAGGGGCACGGGGAAGGTGCGGGCGTAGGGCAGGAGGTGCTGGGCCAGGGGCTGCCCCAGGACCCCCACCCGGAGCAGCCCCCAGGGCGAGCGCTGCTGCAGCACCCGCACGGCCCCGCGCTGCTCCAGCGACTCCCGGCGCTGCGCGTCCGCCTCCCGCCGGCACCACCTGGGCACGGACGGACAGAGCCTCGCACCCTGCTCGGAGCCCTCGGGGTCACCCCGGCCCGGCAGAGACCCCCGGGTGCCGCCCCACCCCATGGGAGAATCCTCATGTCCCACACCCCAGCTCAGCCCCGGGAGATCCCCATGAGAACCCCTGGAGACCCCCATGTGCCACCCCACTCCATGGGAGAACCCCCATATCCCATATTCCAGCTGAGCCCCATAGGAACCCCTGGCGACCCCCATGGGAACACCTTGAGACCCGCACGAGAAACCCTGGAGACCCCCGTGTGCCACCCCATTCCATGGGAGAACCCCCATACCCCACCTGAGGCCCATGGGAACACCTGGACACCCCCACGAGAAACCCTGGAGACCCCCGTGTGCCACCCCTCTCCATGGGACATCCCCCTCATATCCCATATTCCAGCTGAGCTACACGGGAACCCCTGGAGACCCCCACAGGAACCCCTGGAGATCCCCATGGGACCCCTGGAGACCCCCATGTGCCGCCCCACCCCATGGGAGAGCCCCCATATCCCACCTCAGCCCCATGGGAACCCCTGGAGACCCCCATGAGAATCCCTGGAGACCCCCGTGTGCCACCCCTCTCCATGGGAGAATCCCCCCATGTCCCACATCCTAGCTGAGCCCCTGGAGACCCCCATAGGAACCCTTGGAGACCTCCACAGGAACCCCTGGAGACCCCCACAGGAACCCCCATGGGGACCCCCACGTTCTCCTCGCCCTTTATGGAACCCTGGCCTCCCCCAGCCCCATAAAAACCCCCCAGTTTCTTCACAGGAACCCCTGAGATCTTGCCAACCCCTCTTGGGTACCCCCCACCACCTCCCCAGAGCTTCCCTGACCGCACAGGGACCCTCGGAAACCCCAAAATCCCCTGGGAACCTCCTGATTTGGGACACGAGACCCCATGGGGACAACCAAGTTTGGGACTCTTGGGCTGCCCAAAACCTCACTGGAGTCTCCTACAGCCCCAAATCCCCTTGGAAACCCCCAATTTTAGAACCACCCCACAAACCCCATGGAAACCTCATGTTTTGAGCCACTTGGAGCCCGCCACAACCCCATGGAAACCCCACAATTTTGGAACCGCCCCACAAACGCATGAAAACTCCACATTTCAGAACCCCATAACCCAAATCTTCACAAAAAAACCCCCAAATCCTCCAGCACTTGATGCCCCCCGTGCCCCCCGGCACCCCCTGGGCCTCTTGGGCTGCCCAAAACCCCATTGGAGTCTCCCACAGCCCCAAACCCCCATGGAAACCCCCAATTTTGGAATCACCCCACAAACCCAATGGAAACCCCATATCTTGGGACCCTTGGAGCCCCCCAAAACCCAATGGAAACCCCACATTTCAGAACCCCACAACCCAAATCCTCACAAAAAGCCCCTCAAATCCTCTAGCACCCAATGCCCCTGTGCCCCCAGGACCCCTGGGACCCCTCAGATCCCTGGCACCCCCTGGGATTCTTGGGTCTACCCAAGTTTGGGACCCTTGGGATGCCCCAAACCCCGTATTTTGGGACCCTTGGAGCCCCTATGGAGACCCCCCAGTTTTGGAACTACCCCAGAAACCCATGGAAACCCCATATTTTGAGCCACTTGGAGTCCTCCAAAACCTCGTGGAAACCCCCCAGTTTTGGAACCACCCCACAATCCCATGGAAATCCCGCATTTCAGAACCCCACAACCCAAACCTCCACAACAAACCCCCCAAATCCTCCAGCACACGATGCCCCCCGTGCCCCCAGCACCCCCGCAACCCCTGGGACTCTTGGGCTGCCCAAAACCCCACTGGAGTCTCCTACAGCCCCAAACCCCCATGGAAACCCCATATCTTGGGACCCTTGGAGCCCCTCGAGACCCTATGGAGACCCCACAATTTTGGAACCACCCCACAGACCCATGGAAACCCCACATTTTGGGACCCCTTGGAGCCCCTCAAACCCTCATGGAACCCCCACATTTCAGAACCCCACAACCCAAATCTCCACAACAAACCCCCCAAATCCTCCAGCACCCGCTGCCCTCTGTGACCCCAGGACCCCTGGCACCCTCTGGGACTCTTGGGCTGCCCAAAACCCCAATGGAGTCTCCTACACCCCCAAACCCCCCAGTTTTGGAACCACCTCACAAACCCATGGAAACCCCATCTTTTGAGACACTTGGAGCTCCTCAAACTCCCATGGAAACCCCACATTTTGGGACCCCTTGGAGCCCCTCAAACCCTCATGGAACCCCCACATTTCAGAACCCCACAACCCAAACCTCCACAACAAACCCCTCAAATCCTCCAGCACCCGATGCCCCCCATACCCCTGGCACCCCTTGGCACCCCCCTGGCCGTGCCCCTCACCCTTCCTCGGGTCGGGAGCTGAGCTCCAGGTCCAGCCACTCGGCGCTGAAGGTTTCTCTCCTGCCCACGTCCTCCTCCTGCACCCGGCAGCCCAGGCGGGCCGAGAGGAGCCCCCCGGAGCCCCCCAACACCGCAGGTCCCACCATGGCGCCGCTTTCCCCCTCCCCCTGTGCCCCTTCTGCTTTTATGGCCCCGCCGGGGCTATTTTGGGAGGCACCGAGCGCTGCCAAGGAGGGGGGGTGGCACCTCGGACACGTGTGTGGCACCCACGGGGGTGTCCCCTCCCCTTCCCGCCTTGGGGACGCGGGGCAGAGCCTGCCAGCAACGTGAGGGCACCGGCAGGACCCGCCCTGGCACCTGCCCAGGGCACGGCTGGCCTTTGCCTGTGCCCTGTGTGCCAGCCCAGTGCCACCCACGGCGGCCACAGGGACACTGGGGTTCCTGTCAGAGGGACACTGGGGTCACTGTCACAGGGATATTGGGGTCCCCCTCACAGGGATATTGGGGTCAGCTTCAGAGGGACACTGAGGTCACATTCGCAAGGACATTGGGGTCCCCCTCAGAGGGACACTGGGGTCACCTTTACAGGGACATTGGGGTTCCTGAAAGAGGGACATTGGGGTCACCTTCACAGCGATATTGGGGTCACCCTCAAAGGGACACTGGGGTTACTGTCACATGAACATTGGGGTCCCCTCCAGAGGGACATTGGGGTCCCCCTCAGAGGGACACTGGGATCACTGTCACAGGGACATTGGGGTCCCCCTCAAAGGGACATTGGGGTCCCCCTTGGAGGGATACTGGGGTCCCACTCAAAGGGACAGTGGGGGTCCCATTCAGAGGGACATTGGGGTCCCCCTCACAGGGATATTGGGGACAGCCCAGGACAGGGGTTTGGGGCTGTAGGGACCCCCAAAAGGGGGTTTGTGGGGCCAGCAGTCGGGTGGCAGTGACCCAGTGGAGGTGGCTGGTGACAGAGAGGACAGGGATGGTGACACAAAGGATGTGAGGATGGTGACAGAGGGGACAGGGCAGGTGACAGAGGGGATGTGAGGATGGTGACAGGGGGGACAGGGCTGGAGAGCCCCCAAAGCTGCCCCCAAAGTGTTGGGGTTCCACCCCAGGGGATGAACCCAGGGCTGGAGGGACACTGGGGACATACAGACAGACAGACAGACAGAGATGCTCCAGGTGGATGGAGCTGCTGGTGCCACCATGGGGTTGGGGACAGTGCCACCCACAGGCAGTGCCCCAAGGAGCCTGGACCCCCCCCCTTTAGCACTGGGGGGGTCTTCAGGGTGACCCCAACCCCACATCTGCCCCCACCCCTCCATTCACTGCGTGACAAACCCACACAGGTAACCCAAACCTGCAAACAGTGCAAGGCTTTAATTCATCCCCCACAAATTTTTTGGGGGGTCCGGACCCCCCCAGACCCCCAGGGGGGCGCAGAGAGCCCTGGGGGGGTGGGGGGGGGGGCTGTGGGTGCCCCCCATCCCCATTGCAGCCCCCACACTGCTGCTGCTGCTGCTGCTGTTTTTAGAGCAGCACACGGAGCTCACAGGTAGGGGAGGAGCTGCAGCTGCCCCCGCACCCCCCCCACGCACCCCCACCCCCCAAACCCCCCCCCCCGCACCCCCAAAATGGAGCAAAGTCTCTGCTTAAGGCAAATCCCGCGCTGGCTCCGCCCGGAGCTGCAGCTTGGGAAGGAAGGAAGGAGGGAAGGAAGGAATGAGGGGGCTCAGCCGGAGCCAAGGGGGGTTTGGGGGTGTCACTGGGGTGGGGGGGGGTCACAAATTGTGTCTCGAGGCGCTGAGCCTGGCACAGGGCTCAGGTGGGACACGGGCACCTCCTCTGTGCCCTCTTCCTCAGGGAATTGGGGGGCAGGGACAGCAAAATGGGGGTGTCACTGACAGAAATCTAGGGGTGCCAGTGACAGCGATCTCGGGGTGCCATTGACACCAATCTGGGGGTGCCAGTTCACAGCAATCTGGGGGTGCCATTGACACCAAGCTGGGGGTGCCAGTGATTGCAATCTTGGGGTGCCAGTGACGGCAATCTTGGGGTGCCACTGACACCAATCTGGGGGTGCCACTGACACCAATCTGGAGGTGCCAGTCACACCAATCTGGGGGTGCCAGTCACACCAATCTGGGGTGCCACTAACATCAATCTGGGGGTGCCAATGACACCAATCTGGGGGTGCCACTGACACCAACCTGGGAGTGCCACTGACAGCAATCTGGGGATCTCAGTGACACCAACCTGGGGATCTCAGTGACACCAACCTGGGGGTGCCACTCACAGCGATCTGGGGGTGCCAGCTGAGCCCCCAACCTGATTTTGGGGAGGGGGGGCCCTGCCCAGCCCCCAGGGCAGGGATTTGGCACAGAACAGTCAGGTCCAGCCCCCCTGAGCATTGGTGGGAGGAGAGGCTGAGCCCCCCTGGCTGGTAAAGTGGGGGGACCCCTCCTCGCCTGGCGGGGTGCAGGGTCCTGTCCCCATGGCCAGAGAGGGCCAGAATGTCCTCAGGGCTTGGGCAGAGCTCGGCCCAGAGAGCAGAGAAGGTTCTGGAAGGTTCTCAGGGCTTGGAGCAGAGCTCGGCCACGCGCTGGCGCAGGTGGAAGGCGAACTCGAACATGGTGGCAGCCAGGCTCTGGTGGATCAGGTACCTGGGCAGGCGACCCTGGGGACACAGGACAGGGACACGACGCCCTGAGGGACCATTTGGAGCTGGGGATTGTCCCCATCTCACCCTAGGGGCTGCAGGGACACAGGGCCATGAATGAGGGCTGGGGGTTGGTGCCATCCTGCTCCAGGGTGTTCCAGGGTTTGGGGCTGGGGGCTGCACCCAGCCTGGTCTGGGGGGCTCCAGGGGAGGAGGTGAGGGCTGGGCTGGGGGATGTCCCCTGTCCCACCATCCCATCCTGTTCCAGGGATGCAGGAGCCATGAATGAGGATTGGGATTGGGCTCTGTCCCCCTCCCATCCCTTCCTACCCCATCTTGTCCCACCCCATCCTGTTCCAGGGATGCAGGAGCCATGAATGAGGGTTAGGACTGGGCTCTATCCCCCAATAAACCCCATCCCACCCCTCCGCAGAGGGATCCAGGGGTGCAGGAGCCATGAATGAGGGGTGGGACTGGGCTCTTCCCCAATTCCATCCCTTCTCAATCCATCCTGTCCCATCTCAGAGGGATCCAGGGGTGCAGGAGCCATGAATGAGGGGTGGGACTGGGTTCTATCCCCCACTAAACCCCATCCCATCACTTCCCACCCCATCTTTTCCCATCCTAGAAGGATCCAGGGATGCAGGAGCCACAAATGAAGGTTGGGACTGGGATCTGCCCCCATCCCACCCAACCCTAGAGGGATCCAGGGATGCGGAAGCCACAAATGAGGGTTGGAGCTGCCCCTATCACTTCCTACCCCATTCTGTCCCACCCCAGAGAGATCCAGGAGCCATGAATGAAGGTTGGGATTGGGCTCTGCCCCCATCCCATCACTTCCCACTCCAGAAGGATCCAGGGATGCAGGAGCCATGAATGAGGGTTGGGGCTGCCCCTATCCCTTCCCACCCCATCCTATCCCATCCCATCCCATTCCAGGGATGCAGCAGCCTGGAATGGGATGGGATGGGACCGAATGAGGGTTGGGACTGTGCTCTGCCCCCATCCCACCCCTTCCCACCCCATCCTGTCCCACCCCAGGGCTGCAGAGGCACCGCTGGGCGGAGCTGCGGCTCCCGGGCAGCTCCGATCCGATCCCATCCGGGGGAGGAACTGCAACAACGCGCTCGGATTCCTCTAAAAAAGCCCTGCACGACTCACCCCCCCTCCGCCTCGGCCTCGGCTCCGAGGTGGGAGATCCACGAAAAAAATAATAAAAATAATAATCCTTGGCTCTGGATGGGGAGGAGGGAGCTGAGGCAGGGCTGGGAATGCTCCAGGGGCAGGGAGGGATGAGTGGAGAACGATCCCGAGGGTCAGGCAGGCACAGGACATGGGATTGGGGTGCTCCAGCACCCCAGATCTTTTCCTGGAAGGGAGTTTTCCCTCTGGAGGGGGGGTTTTCCCTCTGGAGCAGGTTTTCCCTCGGATCAGGGGCAGGGAAAGTGCGAGGCCGCTGTCTCAGGGTCCATTTCACACACACAGACACACACGTGTAGGATGCTCCCACCCCCGAGGAGCAGGAAGGGATGAACCACGGGCTATAAATACTCGCCCAGGGCCGAAGGGAAGAGCCAGGAGCTGCCGAGGGGTCTGGCAGGGCTGGCAGAGCCCCTGGGGAAGGCGCTGGGAGCACTTGGGGGTTATTAATAGCTCGGCATTCCTTCCACGGCGGAGGCGGTGCTGGTACAAGCACAAGGACAAGGAAACTCTTTTCTTCCCCAGCCCCATCATGGGGGGGGGGGGTTTGTTATCCATCCCCCTGCCCCAAAACCGTGCTGGGCACCGGATCCAGGGGAGGAAAACATCCCTGAGGGGAGGAAAACATCCCTGGGGGGAGGAAAACATCCCCTGGGCACAACAGGGTGGGCACGATCTGCTCTTGGAGCTTCCCAAACCTTTTCCAGAAGCGTTTGGCTGCGCTCAGGGGGAGGGGAAGGGGCCGTGGGAGGGAAGGGGAGGGGAGAGGAGGGGGCAGAGCGCTGCAGCACAGCCGAGGGATGGATGGATGGATGGATGGATGAATGAATGGAGCCTTTGTGCTGCTGCGGCAGCGCTGTTACCACGCCAGCCTTCGGCGGAGGAAGGAACGGGGCCAGCTCCGCTCCCGTTCCCGCCCCGTCCCGGTCCCTCCGTGCTCTGCCGGGACACCGGCAAGGACAGGCGGCTCCACAAATAGCTCCGGAGCTGGGGCAGCTCGTTCCTCCCTCCGTGAGGGAGGATTTTGGGGGGTCGTGGTAGTGCCAGGGGGTTCTGGAGCAGGGAATTGTCCCCTGGCACAAAAGTTGGCTCCAAGTGGGTTTGGTCAGCAAGGAGGATTAAAAACTCCTCTCACCCCATCCTGCACTCAGAACTGAAACCCCTGAGAGAGACCTGAAATAAGGAAGAGCTTCCCAAACTCCCACTGAGGGAAAGGAGGGGGATTTTGGAGGAGTTTAACCCCTCACTTGCCAAACCTGAGTCTCTTGAGGGCAGGGCTTGCTAAGGGGCCACTTGTGTGGCTGCTGGGATGCTGGAGCAGGGGGTTGTGGTCCTGTCAGGGGGTTATGGAGCAGGGAATTGCCCCTCTGGAACATCCCCAGCACTAAACTTCAAAGTGGGTTTGGTCAGCAAAGAGGATTAAAAACTCCTCTCCTCCAGTCTTGCATTCACCCTAAGTGAGACCTGAAATAAGGAAGAGCTTCCCAAACTCCCACTGAGGGAAAGGAGGTGGATTTTGGAGCAGTTTAACCCCCCACTTGCCAAACCTGAGTGCCTTCAGGGGCCCCTTGTGTGGCTGGCTGGGATGCTGGAGCAGAGCCTTGGGCTGTGCTGGGGATGGGGCTCAGCTGCCTCACCCAGGAGCTGCCTTTTACCTTCAGATCTGTGTTGAGGATCCAGATGAAGGTGCAGACCTTGGCGTTGCTGGGACATTTCAGCACGATGAATCCTCCAGGTCCGTTCTCACCCCTGTGCAGGAAAAGCCAAGAGGGTCAGGCTGGAATTCTGCCTGGGATTCTCTGTGGATGCACCACATGGAGCTGAGCCTGGCAGCAAAACCCAGAGCCCAGAGGGGCAGGAGCAGATGCTGGGAGCCTGGGAAGGTGTGTGCCTTGGCTCCAGGTGCACGAGCCAGCACGGCAGGGCAGCTTTCCCACAGGTGCCTTGGCAGTGCCCGTGCCAGGGCTGCTGGTGGAGCAGCAGCTCTGCCTCTGCACTGTGCCAGCTGCTCCTCATGGGAAGCTTTGCCTGGGAGCAAACAAGAGGTCCCAAGAAGCTCTGTGTGCTCAGGACAGGCTCAGCACTTGTCACTCCAGCCCCCAGATCCTTCCCAGCACCATCTGATCTGTCTCTGAGACGGGAGCTGTGCACACACAGCCCAAATACAGATTTCCCTTCCCTCTTCAGAACACTCTATTTTTGCTGTGTGCCTTCCTTAAAGGATTTTTCCAGGCCCTGAAGTTCCCAGTTCCTAAATAGACTCAGGCAGCTCCAACAGCTCTGAGATAAAATGTCAATTACTTTAACCAGATTATTGAGAAAACCGAAGTCAGAGTGTGCAGCAGCACAGCTGGGCCCTGGCAGGAACAAGGAGTCCTTGTCTGATGAGCCTGGCCCTGCTGGGATCCATCACCAGCCTTTCCCTTTGGAGGGGGAGAGGCCAAAGCCCTGCTGAGATTTTGGGAGCTGCTCCATCCTCCTTTCATCCCTCAATGCCTCAAATTCAGTTTATGAGGAGCAAAAGGCATGTGAGAGGCTCAGAGCCACATCCAGCTGTTTACTGCCCCTCAGAAAATCCTGCTTGGGAATTAACTGTTACATAAACAGGATGTGGGACTGGGAGAGAGTTTGTTACTGGTCAGCACCTCCACTCCCCTGAGCTGGGAAACGCCCCAGCAGCGCTGACAGCACAGAGAGTTTCTCAAACAAAGGGAGACGAACAAGGGAAGCGAGGTTCAGGCTCCACAAATAGCTCAGCTTCCTGCAAATCCTGCCAGCAAGGCAAGCAGGGCTTGCAGTGAAGCTTGGAGCTCTGGAGAAATGCGTGATCCCAGCTGAAAAAGCAGCACCTGCCTCTCACCTGACGTACTTGGAGAGCGGAGGCTTCAGGCTGTGCGTGGTCGACATCCCTGAGGACACGTACCTGTCCCTCCTCCTCTCGATCCGACGCACGTTCACGAAATCCCTGAGCAAAGAGAGGCCTTAAAAACACACCAGGGATGTGGAGGGGGGGCAGATCCCTCTCTTTGGACTGCTGGGACAGGCTGTGGCAGGGCTGTGTCAACACAGGGAGGCACAGCCAAGATATCTGGGAGCCCGACTGAGCGAGGTTTGGAGCTTGGAGAATCCTGCCAGGAAGAAATTTCAGGGGCTGCCCACCCTTGGGAGCGTTACCTGCACAGCCAACCAGCCCTACCACGGTGACCCAGCAGCTCAGAGCATCCCCAGAGGGGTCTCCTTGTGGTTTTGGGGGGTGTTTAGGGGCAGCGTGGGATGAACTGACCTTGGGGACACCACCCCGCCAGCAGCTCCGGCCGCCACGTCGTACGAGACGATCGTGTTGTCCTCAACCCGCTGCAAGATCTGGAGAAGGGCAGGGGAAATAAATCAAAAGAAGGGAGATTTGCTGAGATTGAGCCTCCAAGCCTGCACACCAAGAGGATACAGCCCCTCCCATAAATCAGCACCAGGATCAGATCTTTAGGGGCAGAGGGCGACGAGCAGTGTGTGTGTGGGTTCAACTCCTGAGTTCCTCTCCACGAGGCTCAGACCCCCTCAGTAGGTCTGGCTCAGCCCTGGCTCCTGTCTCTGCCCACCTCTCTCAAAAGAAGGGAGATTTGCTCAGATTGTGCCTCCAAGCCTGCACACCAAGAGGCCACAGCCCCTCCCATAAATCAGCACCGACCTTTTGGGCTGGGGGGTGATGAGCGGTTTGTGCGTGGGTTCATGTCCTGAGTTTTTGGGGGGCACAGGTGTCACCTCCAGCTCCTCTCCACGAGGTTCAGACCCCTCCCAGCAGGTCTGGCTCAGCCTGGGACCCTGTCTCTACTCACCTCTCTCAAAAGAAGGGAGATCTGCTCAGATTGTGCCTCCAAGCCTGCACACCAAGAGGCCACAGCCACTCCCCTAAATCAGCACCGACCTTTTGGGCCGAGCTGTGGGTGCATGGGTTCATCTCCTGAGTTTTTGGGGGGCACAGGTGTCACCTCCAGCTCCTTCCATGAGGCTCAGACCCCCCCCTCAGCAGGTCTGGCTCAGCCCTGGCCCCCATCCCTGCCCACCTCTCTCAAAAGAAGGGAGATTTGCTCACATTGTGCCTCCAAGCACCGATCTTTCGGGGCAGAGGGCAATGAGTGGTTTGTGCGTGGGTTCATCTCCTGAGTTTTTGGGGGGCACAGGGGTCACCTCCAGCTCCTCTCCACGAGGCTCAGACCCCCCCAGCAGGTCTGGCTCAGCCCTGGCCCCTGTCCCTGCCCACCTCTCGGGCTCTTGGCCGGGCCCAGGCGTGCAGCCGGCTGGAGCGCACGGATGAGCGGCACAGATTTAACGCCTCGGTGCCTGGGATCCAGCCCGGCTCCAGCCCTGCCAGCAGCCTGTGCTGGAAGGGGAAGCTCCAGCTCTCAACGCTCCAAGGAGCTCCTGTGATTAAGCCATCTTTGTCCAGCACGCTCACCTGGCAAGCTGCCACTGTTCTGTTCCACAGGATCATCTTCTCGGGCTGCAGAATCACCTCCTGGTAAACCATTTCAGGGGAGCACTGCAGGAAAGCCTGAGGACACAGCCAGAGCAGTCAGCCAGCCCCTCTGCTCCCCTTGGGGGGGTTATTTTTAAGGAAAACAGGGCAAAACACAAAGGACAAGTGGGAATGCAGGTGAGGGGAGGAGTGAGGGCAGCCTGGCTCCTCTGCATGCAAAGCCATGGCTGTCACCTCTCTGTCCCAGAGCTCCAAGGGGCCTGGGGAGGACACACAGACCTCAGGATTTGGGAGCCACTGAGCTCTGCCTGCCTGTCTGCCCCTCTCCCACCCTCATCAGCTCCCCATGCACCATTGCTTCGAGAAGTTGCATTTTTGACTGTTTTGGTTTTTTTTTCCCCCAAGCCATTCCAAGCTCCAGCACGCACAGCATCCATTCCATTCCCAATCCCCACGGGAGCAGGGGATCTTCAGAGGCAAACAGTTCATGCAGCAAAGTGGGACCATCCAGCTTTTGCTGGTGAGCACAGAGCTGCTCCACTGGCAGCTCCTGCCAGCGAGGCAACATATGCACTGGAACAAAGAAAAGCCACGGCAGCACCGACGCTTCATTAAAACGTGGTCCCCAGCCAAGGCACTCCAGCCTGGGAGAGGGCACAGAGCAAGGCACTTCTGAGCTGCTCTGCCCGGTGCCAGGCAGCAGCAGAGGCACACTCAGCCCTGGCCTTGCTGGCAATTAGTTCCAATTAGCCTCCTTGGTCAGATTAGTCCGAGATGCTGAGGTTGGAAGCGACTCTTGCAGTCACCTGCTCCTGATTCTACCAGTGCAGTCTGGGGCCTTGGATATTTACTGGGGAGTTTGTCTGCTGGCCAAGGGGTTTTCCTGGAGAGATTCCCCAGTGCTGTTCATCTGTCTCAAGCACAGGGAGCGTGTTCTACAGCCTGAGCTGTGCTGAAAGCTGAGCTCTGGCTCTTCCCCCGTGCCAAAGAGAGCAAGGAATGGGCCCGAGGATGTTCTTACCTTTAAAATAAAGGTCTTGCCGTGGAAAGGGATTTCAAAAGTGTAAACAACATCACCAAAGTCCTGTGCAAGAGATGAGAAAGTTGTGGTTTTATCAGTAAAAAGGGATTGTGTCTATTTAGGGTGAAGTTTGAGGCTCCTGTCACCCCCTGCTCCCCACACCAAGCAGCGACCTCAGCACAGAAACCGCCCCAGGCACATTTCACTTGGCCATGCCTAAATTTCCATCAACAAAACAATATCCAGAGAGGCAGCAGGGATGAGACAGAAAAAGAATCCACCCCGTGCCAGGCTGCAAACCCCACGTCAAGGTCACATTCTCTTTGTAGCAGCACTGGGGTGCAAAAGGGGGTTTTGCTGCCAGAGCTGCTGGTGTTACCTATGGCTGAGAGGAGCCTCCCTGGAGGGGCTGGGCAGATGAAAACCTTTCATCGTTAGCCCTGTGTTAAACTCTGATTAGTCTATTTAAATCCATCCCCCTTTGGAAAAAGAAAACAATCTGCCCAGCTAGTTTGGCATCAGACAAAGGATCACTTGACAGGGGAATTTGAAACACCAGATGAGACAGCAGTTTGCAGGATCCACACCCCCCTTAGTTGTGTTTGAACCTTATGAAACAAGGTTGGGTTTGGGGGGCAAACCCCTCCTCTTTCTCTGCACTCTTCAGAGAGAAAAAAGAGCTCTGTGCACCCCAGAAAAGTCTGGAGTTGGCAGAGCCATTTCCCAAATTTACACCGCAGGTTCCAGGTGAGGGGAAGGGGGGACACCAGTGGCTTTGGAGTGCCCCACATGGGCCAAATCTCCAGTTTGGGCCCCCAGCAGGCTCAAAAGATTCCAGTTTGGGCCCCCAGCAGGCTCAAAGGCACCTGGTCATGGAACAAGGGCAGGATTTGAGCTGTAGGAGCAACATTCCCCTGCTCTGCATCCCAAAGGTGACCTGGCCACCCCTGCCCACCCTCTGGACAGAGGGAGGAGGAAAAGGCCCCCCTCTCTTAACTGCAAGGCAATTAAAGGTCTAATTAAATAAGAGGGGGATTTTACATTTAACTGAACTGGAATAGATTCCTAATTCAATCAGGTAATTGTAACGCTTGTTAATTTTTCATGGCACAAGGAGGTTTCCAAAGCCTCGTTTGTCCTGGTTTTTGCTAAGCCATCCATGCCCTCTGCCAGCTGGGGAGGGAAAAAAAAAACCACACTTGCATTGTTTTTCTCAAACTTCCAGTTCTCCTCCTGAGCGAGGATTTGGTCCACAACCTCCATGGCCTCTTTGCCTTGTCGGACATATTCCTTTTCCTGGGGAAAAAAAGAGGATTTTACCTTTAGATTTCTTTAGCTAGGCGTGCAGGAAGCTTGAGGAGTGTGTGTGTGTGAGGCTGCTCCCCCCTCCCAGGGCTGGCAGAGGGAAAGGGGATCAGAAATCTCTTAATTTGGGTCACAGAGGCCTCGTTTTGGAGCTCCAAGTCACGCTCCCCGCCCTGGCTGGGATCCACACACCAGCTGCTCCCGATGGCTCCTGCCTTACAGGAAGGTTTCCAGCAGGAAAAGGGCTCTGGGATGTGCAGCTTCCTTCCTGGAGGAGCCACAACAGGAGCAGGATCTCTTGGAAAAGGGCACAAAGCTTGTGCCCAGCCAGGTTTTGGGGCAACACCTCAAGCCAAGGGGACAAGTGAGGTGATGCCCATCCCAGAATGTGACCAAAGGACCAGGGATGGAAGGGAGAAGGGGAAGGGACAGACAGAACAGATCCCTGTGGGATGCTGCAGGGAGAGCACACAGCCCTGGAGAAGGGGGATAAATCTGGGGGGCTCAGATGGCCCCTCCTGGGTGGTGGCACAGAGAGGGCTCAGGCAGAGTCCCCAGAGCTGAAGGGTTTGAATGGGGGGAGCAGCAAAACCTGACTGGGGAGCCCCAGATCAGCTGGAGCCGAGGGCAGGGCCAGGCCCTGTTTACCTGAGTTGTCAAGGCCTTCCTCCCCACACCTTCCTCATCAGACTCGTTGTCTGAGCCTACGGGGAAGCACCAATTAACTCAGAGTTAATCAACACCCCACAGGTGCCACCTCCCTCCCTTTTGGTGACCCCTGCCCCTCATCCAGCAGGAAGGGCTCTCAGTGAGGATGATTCCCTGTCTCCCTGCTTGGCTCTGCAGAGGGCTGAGCTCATCCTGGGTGTGAGCTGTACCAGGAACAGTGTTCCAGAGGGCTGAGCTCATCCCAGGGCTCAGCTACACTGGGACAACTGCTCCAGAGGGCTGAGCTTGTCCTGGGTGTCAGCTACAGCAGGAAAAGTGTTCCAGAGGGCTGAATTTGTCCTGGGTGTCAGCTACACTGGTTTTAGAGGGCTGAGCTCATCCTGGGTGTCAGCTGTACCAGGAAAAGTGTTCCAGAGAGCTGAGCTCATCCCAGGTGTCAGCTACACTGGTTTTAGAGAGCTGAGCTTGTCCTGGGTGTCAGCTACACTGGGAAAAATAAAAGAGTTCCAGAGAGCTGAGCTTGTCCTGGATGTCAACTATTCCAGAGGGCTGAGCTCATCTCTGTGTCAGCTACACTGGGACAACTATTCCAGAGAGCTGGGCTCATCCTGGGTGTCAGCTGTACCAGGAACAGTGTTCCAGAGAGCTGAGCTTGTCCTGGGTGTCAGCTACACTGTGAAAAATAAAAGAGTTCCAGAGAGCTGAGCTTGTCCTGGGTGTCAGGACAACTATTCCAGAGGGCTGAGTTCATCCCTGTGTCAGCTACACTGGGACAACTATTCCAGAGAGCTGGGCTCATCCTGGGTGTCAGCTACACCAGGAAAAGTGTTCCAGAGAGCTGAGCTTGTCCTGGGTGTCAGCTACACCAAAACAAGTATTCCAGAGAGCTGAGCTCACCCCAGGTGTCAGCTACACTGGGACAACTGCTCTGGAGAGCTGGGCTCATCCTGGGTGTCAGCTACACTGGGAAAAATAAAAAGGTTCCAGCGGGCTGAGCTCATCCTGGGTGTCATTTACACCAGGAAAAGTGTTCCAGAAGGCTGAGCTCATCCCAGGGGTCAGCTACACTGGGACAACTATTCCAGAGAACTGGGCTCATCCTGGGTATCAGCTACACGGGGACAACTATTCCAGAGGGCTGAGCTCATCCCGGGTGTCAGGCACAGCAGGACAATCCCACTGAGATGTCCCCCTCCCACGCCAGGAGCTCTCCAGTGCCACCAGCCCTGATCCCCACCCCTGGGCAGCATTTCCAAGCACACAGCTCAGAGCATTTAATCCCAAGCCCACACAAAGCTCCAGCTCCCCAGGCTGGCAGGGATGAGGGCAGCACCAATAAGAAGGTGCCACGTGGAGAGTGTGGCAGTGCCACCCCTGCCCAGGTGCAGGCACTGAGAGGGGACCCTGTTTTTCAGTGTCAGGCCCTGCCAAGGCTGGGATAACGAGGCAGAGCTTTGGACAGAGATGATGGAGGTGAGGAATTCCATGGTGGGATGAGCTTGGGAAGTGAGGTGATGGCACAGGTGACCTTACCTGCAAAGGACTCGGGTGGGGAGTAGAACTGTCCCTCGGAGAGGGCTCTGGGGTACAGCAGAGGCCTCGAGGCTGCAGCCTGGGCTGCCAGGAACCCTGGGGATGGGAGCACAGGGATTGAACACCTGGCAGGCTGTGGGACCCCAGCCCTGCCAAAACACCCTCTTGTTTTTCCCATGTCTCTTCCCACTGACAGCAGCCAGCCTCAGCTCCTGTTGCCTCAGCTTTTGTCTGAGATGTTTTATCTGCCCCGGAGATCAATGGGCTCTTCTGCCTGTCAAATAATCCAAAGGCGATTAAGCATCTAATTAAATAAGAGCTTCCCCTGGAAGCAATTTGGAACCTGAGCCTAATCCAATAGAGGCATTAAACACTTGATCATTTTTCAATTTAAAGCCTCCTTGCAAGACCCAAACATCCTCTGGTGCTTTCCAGTCAGAGCATTTCTGATTGAGCCCAGCCTGACAAATGTTGTCCCTCTCAAGTTTGGTGTCACTTCCCAGCCAGTGACTCCTGGGAGAGGGACAAAGCTCCCTAGAAGGACCCTGGAAGCCACAGGGTGATGTGTGAAGCATGAGGTCAGCCCCAATCTCTGCTCGGTGTGACCTCAGAGACCACAGAATTTCACACCCCATCATTCACCCCGTGCCACAGAATGTGTCTGGGACTCCAGCAGCCCCTCTGGAAAAGGGCTCCAGCCAGATCCAAACACAGATATCAGGGACAGGGAGTCCAACACACTGCCTGGCATTTGCCTCCCTGTTTCCAAACACTTTCTCTCCAGCACGTCTGGCTGCAGGATTCAGCCATTGGGAAATCTGGCACATTTTTCTCCCCTCAATTAAAAGATGCTTTTTATAATCTGGTATTTTCTACCCCTGAAGGGACTTGGTGACCATAACAGATCTGAGTCAGGCACTTCCCATCCCTGCCAGCCTTTCCCAGAAATGTCAGATCAAGGTGCTGCCAGAACAGGCCTGGTTGGATTTGTCCAACTCTTACCAGAGAGGAGCAAAAATACTCACATCGTTCCTCTTCTGCTTCCTGAGTAAGGACTTTAAAATCCAGGAACCACGTCTCCAGCCAAGCAATGACAAATGAGACAATGGGAAGTAAATACCCAAAAGCCCCTTTGGTCAGAAGCTGTGTGGAAAGAACAGAAAACCCCAGGGAATGACCCAAACAGGGAATAAAACATCACTGAGAAATCACAACGCGACTTTCAAGGAAACCAACCTCGGAGAGGATGACCTTGACAATCAGGAAGGCACTGGACACCAGTGTGGTGACCTGAAAATGAAAGTGGACAGAGCTCAGATGCCTGAGAAGCCAAGGGGGAGAGGGAGAAACCCCCAGAGGAGAGGCTGGGCTGGCTCCTTACCGCGATGACCCACCAGTGGCGCAGGCGCAGCGCGGCGTAGCCCAGGAGCAGCACCAGGAACCGAAACAGAGCCAAGAGCTGCAACAACAAACACCCAGCACCACCAGTCAGCACTGCCCCTGGCCCTCTGCCAGCTGCTGGCAGGGCAGGGACACAGGGACAGGTGCCAACCTCAGGGTCAAAGCTGCACCACTCACCGAGGTGGGCAAGGGGACAGCCCAGGGCCTCCCGGCCCCACTGAGCTCTGCAGGAGGCTGAGATACTCACAAAGATATCAAAGAATGAAGTCTTGAATTTGTAGTTGATGATTTCATCCTTCAGGTTCTCCTTGATGCCCACCTTGGTCTGAGGGAGACAAGGAAGCAGGAAGCTGATAAGAACCTGATGGGAGAAGGAGCTGAGCAGTGCTCGGGGTTATGGCCAGGTCAGGGAATAAAAATGGTCCCACGGGCCCAGTGTGGGCTCCTCTGGCAGCACAGCACCGGGGAGGATCCCATGGCACATTTCCTGCCTGGATTGACCCCTGGGATTCACACCCAGCAGCATGAGTGGGGCAGGAGGGACATTAAACACCTTTAGGTGGGACAGGAGGGACATTGAACATCTTTAAGTGGGACAGGAGGGACATTGAACATCTTTAAGTGGTGCGGGAGGGACACTGAACACCTTTAGGAGGGACATTGAACACCTTTAGGTGTGCAGGAGGGACACTGAACACCTTTAGGTGGGGCAGGAGGGACCTTAAAGACATTTAGGTGGGGCAGGAGGGACACTGAACACCTTTAGATGGGACATTGAACACCTTTAGGTGGGGCAGGAGGGACATTAAATACCTTTAGAAGGGCAGGAGGGACATTGAACACCTTTAGGTGGGGCAGGAGGGACATTAAACCCCTTTAAGTGAGGATTTCCAGCACCCAAATCCTTGGCTCAGCACAGGCAGTGCCACCAGTCCCTCACCAGTCCCTGCCCACCTCACCCAAATTCCAGAGGAATGGGAGAAAAAACGGGAAAAAAATGGAAAACCACAGGAAAAATGTTCCTCAGGAACCTTCACTAACACACTGAACACCTTCCTGTGAGGGCTGCCAGGGTCTGTGAGAACCTGGGGGGATTTAAAAAGCAAAGCACTGAGGGGTCCCTTCTCCTTCCAGCTGCCTTCCCACAGCTCACAGCAGTGCTCCAGGAAATCTGAGGGAAGAAAGGAAGCAGCAGGATCAAACATGCTGGAAAAGGGGAAGAGACAGGAGGAGGAGGATGCACAGCCCAGGCTGCAAGAGGCAAAACCACCCTGGGATTGCCAGCAGTGTGGAAAAAACTCCTCCTGAGATAATGCAGGGTCTGACAGCCCTGCTCCTGTGGCCACCATAAATCCTGGGAGGCTGGAGTGGCTGTCTGGGAGGAAGTGGAGGGCTCAGGTAACTGGAACAAATGCTTCACCTTTAGGCTATGGCCTTGGATGGAGCCCAGCTGGCTGGGAGCTGGCAGAGGCAGCAGCTGCTGGAGCTGGGGCCAGTCCTTGGCAAGCCAGGCTGGCCTGGCACTCCAAGGGCAGCACTGGGAAAGGATCCCTGTGGGCCAGGGCTTCAAACCCAGGGGGAGAGAGGCAAAAACAGGGGGGAGAAGCTGGGCTGTGGCCATGAGACTCGGGCCAGCTTGGCTGAGTGGCCACCAAAATCCTCCTTTCCCCTTCTGGGGCTCCATGGGATGCTGCAGGGAGGAAGGGAGAGCTTTGGGTGAGGATTTTTGGGAAGTGTTTTGGCTGAGTGGCCACCAAAATCCTCTTCACCCCCTGTGTGGCTCCATGGGATGCTGCAGGAAGGAAGGAAAAGATTTGGGTGATGATTTTTGGGGGGTGTTTGGGGGGTGTTTTGGCTTAGTGGCCACCAAAATCCTCCTTTCCCCTTCTGGGGCTCCATGGGATGCTGCAGGGAGGAGGAGACACAGGGAGAGCTTTGGGTGAGGATTTTTGGGGGTGTTTCTGGTGGATTCTGAAGCTGTAAGGAATGAATTGGTGGTGCCAGTCCCTAGCAGAGGGCAGCACTGGGATTGGGAAAGGATCCCTCCCAGTCTGGGATGGGGTTTAATATAAAATAAAGGGACAAAAAAAAGAGGCTGAAGCTGGGCTGTGGCCATGGGACTTGGGCCAGCTTGGCTGAGTGGCCACCAGAAATCCTCTTCCCCCCTGTGTGGCTCCATGGGATGCTGCAGGAAGGAAGGGAAAGCTTTGGGTGATGATTTTTGGGGGTGTTTCTGGTGGATGAGCTGTGAGGAATGAACTGTTGGTGCCAATCCCTTCAGCACTGGGATTGGGAAGGAATCCCTCCCAGTCTGGGATGGGGTTTAATATAAAATAAAGGGACAAAAACAGGGGGCTGAAGCTGGGCTGTGGCCACAGGATTTGGGCCAGCTTGGCTGAGTGGCCACCAAAATCCTCCTTTCCCCTTCTGGGGCTCCATGGGATGCTGCAGGAAGGAAGGGAGAGCTTTGGGTGAGGATTTTTGGGGGTTGTTTGGGGGGTGTTTTGGCTGAGTGACCACCAAAATCCTCTTCCCTTCTCAGTGGCTCCATGGGAAGCTGCAGGAAGGAAGGGAAGGCTTTGGGTGAGGATTTTTGGGGGTGTTTCTGTTATTTCTGGTGGATTGGCTGTGAGGAACAGTTGGTGGTGCCAGTCCCTGGCAGAGGGGTGTCCTGGCACTCCAAGGGCAGCATTGGGATTGGGAAGGGATCCCTCCAAGTCTGGGATATATAAATATAAAGCAAAGGGGGAAAATATTAATGTAATATGATATGATATGATGTAATGTAATGTAATATAATATAATATAATATAATATAATATAATATATACCTATATATAATATATATAACTATATATACACCTATATATACACCTAATATACACCTATATATAATATATAATATATACCTATAAATATCATATATATAGCTATAAATATAACTAATAATATATAAATATAAATATAAATATAAATATAAATATAAATATAAATATAAAATAGAAATTATAAATATATTTCTAAATATAAATATAGAACAAAGGGGCAAAAAGAGGGGGGTGAGGCTGGGCTGTGCTTAGCTGAGTGGCCACCAAGAGCTCCATCCCCAGCCTCTGACTCCACAGGATGCTGCAGGAAGGATGAGGCACTTTGAGGGGTGTTTTCAGCTCAAACACAGGCAGATGAAGCACCTGAGGCATCTCCCTGGCTCTCAGAGCACCCAGCCTGCACAATTACAGTTTGCTTTTAACGAGGGGCAAATTGCTGGGCTTATCTCCCAGCAAAAGGAAACGGTAGGATATAATAAAAAGGAACAAAAAAAAAAAAAAAAAAAAAAAAAAAAGAAAAAAAAAGGCATTAGTCATGATATCAAACCGTTGCTCTTCATAATCAGCTGCTCTAATGGATTTAAATATGCAGCATTTCAGCTCAGGGGCCCAAATATCAGCACTTAGTCACTCATTAATGGCTACCTGCAGCACCCACGCTCAGCATCACCCTGGTGACCGAGCCAGGATTATCTCCTGGGGGCTGCAATCTGGAATTGCAGCAGCTCCCCTCGGGGGGACAGCACCGGGACAAGGGCAGGGGGCTGGGGTCCAAAGGGGGCGGGCAGGACACCATCGGCACGGCTGGAATGCTGGCTGGGAAATGGTTTTTCCTAAATGGGGTGGGGAGCAGGGGGGGCTCTGAGCAGAGTCCGGGCAGTGTGTTAAGTGCAGACAGCCAGAGATAAGGAGGGCAGAGAGATAAGAGCAGCAGCAGGATGCAGCGCTGATAAAATGCAGCCCTGGAGCTCAAAGGGGTTCTTTCTATCTGTTCATCTCTGCTCTGGGTGTTCCAGGGGAGGACATGGAGTACCTGAAACCAGCCAGGGCCGGTTTATGGAGAAATCAAAACAAAATATAGCCCAGGGAGGGATTTGGACTTGGTGGGACTGAGGTAAATAAACTGGATTTGCCCTGTTATTGCAACACAGAGCAAACAGAGCAGCTTGTGAGCTGCTTTGGAGAGAAGCAAACCACTCACAGCCCCCTCAACAGTCCCTTGGGAGGTGGAGCAGCACCTCCAGCTTCCCAAAGCTGAGATTAGCAGCAGAATTTTGGGATCAAAGCCCCTGGAGGATCCTCCCCTGCTCCTCTGATGCTCTGACAACACTGCAGCAGCGAACCCAGGGGAGCAGGAGGGGAATTTGGTGATTCCAGAGGCCCTGGATCTTATTACAGCCCAACAAAGGGAGGTGTTAACAACCCTGGGCAGCCCCGGGGCAGGAAACGAGCTGGACTTTAGTTGATATTAAAGAACAGCGGCTCCTTGGCCAGCGCTGGGAACAGCAAACAAAGATCTGTCCCAGGAGTGCTGGAACAGAGCAATTAACGCAGGGAACCGAGTTTAAAAAGGGCAAAGATTCCCGGCTTTGCTTCCTCCGACTCACATTGAGCTCGATGATCCACAGCAGGGAGATGAAGAGCAGGTCGAAGGTGACGAAGAGGCAGAAGGTTCTCCTCACATCCGAGATGGCTTTTCTCTTCTCCGGGGAGAGGAAATAAGGGGAAAAGCCCTGGCTCTGCGAGAGGGAGGAGCTGATGGAGGCGATGGCAGGGAGGCTTCGTTCCAGGTCGTGCTGCAGCTCCGGGGGCTTGCTCATCCTCCGGGGACATGGGCCACCAGGGCAGCGTCACCTGCAGGACACACCGAGGGCTTGTCACAGCCTGCTCCTGTCCTGATAATCCCGGGAAATCAGAGAAATCATCCCCTGGCACAGGGCGAGCAGAGCAGCTGTGGCTGCCCCTGGATCCATGGAAGTGCCCAAGGCCAGGCTGGATGGAGCTTGGAGCAAGCTGGGAGAGTGGAAGGTGTGCCCCTGCCATGGTAGGGGTGGGAATGGATGAGATTTAATAGTAGTTTATATTAAAGAATATGTGTTTCCATGCTTTAATGCCATGGCAGTAGGAAAAGGGGCTCCAAAGCCCATGGAGATGCCAAGGCAGCATGGAAAGGAGCTGCAAACCCCATGAAAATGGTGTGGAAGAAGAAAAAGGGGCCCTAAACTCCATGAAAACGTTGTGGAAGAAGAAAAAGGGATCCCAAACCCCATGGAGACACTCTGGACACAAGAAAGGAGCTGCAAACCCCATGAAAATGGTGTGGAAGAAATGAAAACGGTGTGGAAGAAGAAAAAAGGGCCCCAAACCCCATGAAAACGTTGTGGAAGAAGAAAAAGGGATCCCAAACCCCATGAAGACACAGGAAAGGAGCTGCAAACCCCATGAAAATGGTGTGGAAGAAATGAAAACGGTGTGGAAGAAGAAAAAAGGGCCCCAAACCCCATGAAAACGTTGTGGAAGAAGAAAAAGGGATCCCAAACCCCATGGAGACACAGGAAAGGAGCTGCAAACCCCATGAAAATGGTGTGGAAGAAGAAAAAGGGGCCCCAAACCCCACAAAAATGGTGTGGAGGAAGAAAAAGGGGCCTCAAACCCCACAAAAATGGTGTGGAGGAAGAAAAAGGGGCCCCAAACCCCACAAAAATGGTGTGGAGGAAGAAAAAGGGGCCTCAAACCCCATGAAGACACTGCACACAGGAAAAAGGCTCTGAGGATGTGTTGGGAGCACTCCCTGAAATCATGGAGCCATCCCCACCCTTCCCTCTGCAGGGAAGGCAAAGCCTCAGGAGTTGGGCATCCCACTGGAACAGATCCCAGCCTGCACAGCCAGGAGAGAGCCCTGGGGCTGATGGGCCAGGCAGAGCAGCAGGGAGGGAACTGCTCTGTGTCCCAGGGGCAGGGAAGGAGCTGCTTCGTGTTCCAGGGGCAGAAAGGCAGCAGGGAAGGAGGGAAGGAGCTGCTCCATGTCCCAGTGTAAGGAGGGCAGCAGGGAAGGAGCCGGTTCATCTCCCAGTGTGAGGGAAGGAGCTGCTCCCTCTTCGAGGGGCAGGGAAGGAGCTGCTCCATTTCCCAATGTAAGGAGGGCAGCAGAGAAGGAGCTGCTCCATGTTCCAGGGCCAGGAGGGCAGCAGGGAAGGAGTTGCTCCATGTCTCAGGGACAGGGAAGGAGCTGCTCTGTGTCCCAGGAGGAGGGAAGGAGCTGCTCCATCTTCCAGGGGCAGGGAAGGAGCTGCTCCATGTTCCAGGGCAGGAAGGCAGCAGGGAAGGAGCTGCTCTGTGTTCCAGGGGCACAGAGACAGCAAGGAAGGAGCTGCTCCATCTCCCAGGGGTAGGGAAGGAGTTGCCCCGTGTTCCAGGGCAGGAAGCCAGCAGGGAAGGAGGGAAGGAGTTGCTCCATGTTCCAGGGCCAGGGAGGCTGCAGGGAAGGAGTTGCTCAGTGTCCCAGGAGCAGGGAAGGAGCTGCCCCGTGTTAGGGAAGGAGCTGCTCTGTGTCCCAGGAGCAGGAGGGCAGCAAAGAAGGAGCTGCTCAATCTCCCAAGAGCAGGGAAGGAGCTGCTCCCTCTTCCAGGGACGGGGAAGGAGCTGCTCCATGTTCCAGGGACGGGGAAGAAGCTGCTCTGTGTCCCAGTGTTAGGGAAGGAGCTGCTCCATCTCCCAGGAGCAGGGAAGGAGCTGCCCCATGTCCAGGAGCAGGAGGCTGCAGGAAGGAGGAGCTGCCCCGTGTTGGGGAGGAGCTGTCCCGTGTCCAGCCCCGCCTGGCAGTGCCGGGCACACGATCCCAGCACGAGTCAGGTGTTGGAAGGCCGGGGCTGTTTTCCTGCAGCCCTGCCAACCATTGTGCTGGGATTTTTCCTCTCCGTCAGCGCAGCACAAGGAGGCCCCTGTGGGAAGGGAGGGTGACAGGCTGGGGACACAAACACAGAACAGGTCGGGCCAGGGATCTGTCACCTCCAAGTCACCCATGGCCAAACTCCTTCCCTGCTCAAGGATGTTGCCAAAAAAATACCCCTGGATTGCTGTTGGCAGTTCTGGGCCTGCTGGGAAGAACCAGGGAGGTTTAAACCAGTGGGGTTTGAAAGCAGTGAGGTTTAAACCAGTGAGGTTTGAACCAGTGAGATTTGAAAGCAGTGAGGTTTGAAAGCAGTGAGGTTTGAAAGCAGTGAGATTTGAAAGCAGTGAGGTTTAAACCAGTGACTTTTGAAAGCAGTGAGGTTTGAAAGCAGTGAGATTTGAAAGCAGTGAGGTTTAAACCAGTGAGGTTTGAAAGCAGTGAGTTTTAAACCAGGGAGGTTTGAACCAGTGAGATTTGAAAGCAGTGAGCTTTAAAATCCCACTGGTGACACCCAGCAGGCTGCAGAGCCCATGGAAAAAGGCCACAAGGATCTGCCCAGATCTGTGGGGAGTGGAAATCCCAAGGGATGTGCAGCCAGCCAGGAGCACCTGCAGGAGCTGAGCACAGCCCAGTTTGGCCCAGTTTGGATCCCTGAGCCAGCGGTTTTTGCGTTGTGCTGGGGCTGGGAAGGGAACAAAGCTGGACTCCTGTCAAATCCCTGTTGTTCCCTCTCCGAGGAGCTGGGCAAGGAGTGGAATCCTTGTCACTTCGGATCAGGCACTCCCTGTGCCGGGCCTGGTTGGAAGTGACAAAAGTTGGGGACATCTGTGAGGGATAAATAATGGATCCCCCCTGGCCGGGGCCGCCACCGCCTCCTCCTCCCCTCCTACAGCACTTTGCACTTAGGCAGCCCCGCCCCGACTTTCAGAGCGCTTTAAAATCACCCGGAGAGGCCCCAGGGATGCCAGGAGGGGTCACAATGAGGTGTTGGGACACGGCAGGACATGGGGACACCACGCCAGAGCACGCCGGTGCAGCTCACCACCAACCCCAGCCTTGCCAAGGGGGTTCGGGCTGTTTGGGACGCTCCCAAACCATCCAATTCCTGAGGGAAAAAAATCTGAATTATGGGGGAAAACAGGAATGTGTGAATCCCAGACAAACCCCCCCTTCAGTGGAGCTGCTCCCTGTGGCAGCTGAGAGCTCAGAGCAGGGGCTGGGTGTGAGGGAACGTGCCTGTTCCTGGGTGACACATGAATTATTGAGCTCTGCTCCATTATGCATTCCAGCATCCTCCACATCCCGGGCTCTGCTCCCCAGGAATGAGAGGGAAAAGCCCCAAGCTGTGCCAGGAGAGGGGCAGGGTGGGCACCAGGGGGGTTCATCCACTGGAAGGACAATCAGGGGCTCTGCAGGTGTTGTCAGAAATGGTGTGGAGGTGGCGCTTGGGGACAGGGGTGACAGGGCTGTGCGTGACAGACCTTAACCCTTGGCAGGGTTGGTGATCCTGGAGGGCTTTTCCAGCCTGAATGATCCCAGGAGTGCATCCCAGAGAGGGGCAAACACTGCTGGGGGACACCATGGGTGACAAATCACAGCCCAGGGGACACCCCGAGTGACACATCATAGCCCAGGGGACATTGTGTGAGGCAGATACAGCTTGGAGGGACACCCTGAGTGACAAATCACAGCCTGGTGGACACCCTGAGTGACAAATCACAGCCTGGGGGACACCCCGAGTGACACATCATAGCCCAGGGGACATTGTGTGAGGCAGATACAGCTTGGAGGGACACCCTGAGTGACAAATCACAGCCTGGTGGACACCCTGAGTGACAGATAATAGCCCTGGGGACATTCTGGGTGACAGATCACAGCCTGGGTGACACCAAAAGTGACAAATCACAGCCCACAGGGACACCCTGGGTGACAGATCACACCCAGGGGACACCCCAGGTGACAGACCAGTGCCACCACCCCAAAACCTCATCAGCCCAGTGCCACCACATCTCAGTGTCACCATCAGCCCAGTGCCACCATCCGCTCAGTGCCACCACCCTAAACCATCATCAATCCAGTGCCACCACCCCAAAACCACATCCATCATGAGCCCAGTGCCACCACAGCCCAGTGCCACCACCCTAAACCATCATCAATCCAGTGCCACCACCCCAAAACCACATCCATCATGAGCCCAGTGCCACCACAGCCCAGTGCCAGCACCCTAAACCATCACCGATCCAGTGTCTTCACCCCAAAACCTCATCAGCCCAGTGCCACCACCCCAAAACTCCATCAGCACAATGCCACCACACCTCAGTGACACCACAGCCCAGTGCCACCACAGCTCAGTGCCACCACCCTAAACCACCATTAATCCAGTGCCAGCACCCCAAAACCCCATCAGCTCAGTGCCACCACCCTAAACCATCACCAATCCAGTGCCAGCACCCCAAAGCCCCATCCATCATGAGCCCAATGCCACCACAGCCCAGTGCCACCACCCTAAACCATCATCAATCCAGTGCCACCACCCCAAAACCCTGTCAGGGTAGTGCCAGCATAGCTCAGAGCCACCCTAAATCCAGTGCCAGCACCCCAAAACCAAATCAGCCCAGTGCCACCACAGCCCAGTGCCACCACCCTAAACCATCACAAATCCAGTGCCTTCACCCCAAAATCTCATCAGCCCAGTGCCACCACCCTAAACCACCATTAGCCCAGTGCCAGCACCCCAAAACTCTGTCAGCCCAGTGCCAGCACAGCCGAGTGCCACCACCCTAAACCACCATTAATCCAGTGCCACCACCCCAAAACCCTGTCAGCCAGTGCCAGCACCCCAAAACCACATCCATCATCATCATCCCAGTGCCACCACAGCTCAGTGCCACCACCCCAAAACCAGTGCCAGCACCCCAAAACCCCATCAGCCCAGTGCCAGCACCCCAACCCATCACCAATCCAGTGCCAGCACCCCAAAACCCTGTCAGCCAGTGCCAGCACCCCAAAACCACATCCATCATCATCCCAGTGCCACCACAGCTCAGTGCCACCACCCCAAAACCAGTGCCAGCACCCCAAAACCCCGTCAGCCCAGTCCCAGCAGGACACTGGCCACCAAAGCACCCCCAGTGGCAGTGCCAAGGCACGTCCCAGCCCTGTCACCCCAATCCCTGTGTCACCCCTCCCTGAGCCCCTCGTTAGCCCCGTGCCTCGTTAATGACCCCGCTCTGAGGAGCTTCTCCCACCCCGTGACTCCACTTCTCCTTCCTCGCTTCCCCCTGGGCTCATGTGACAGCTCCTGCTGTCCCCTCTGCTGTCCCCTCTGCTGGGGACACCCCCAGGGGCACCCCAAAACCCCCGAGCTGCAGGAGCAGAGGGATGGGGACCCCCCCTGGGGTGTCTGAGCCCCTTGAAAACGCCAAAAAAGATCGATTTTAACCCAGATACCGAAACTGCAGCCAAAAAATAAACTGGGAAGGATCCAACGGGGCAAAGCAGTGGTGAGGGGTTGGTTCAGGACAAAGTGGGGACATGGGGACCCCTGGGGGGACAGTAAGACCTTGGGGGGACACTGAGACCCCCAGGAACCTGTTCCCCCCAGAAGGACACCAAGAGACCCTCGGGAGGACACTGAGACCCCAAGGGGGACACTGAGACCTCCAAGAGGACACTGAGACCCTGGGGGGACACCAAGACCTCAGGAGGACACTGAGACCCCCCTAGGAACCTGTTCCCCCCAGGAGGACACCAAGAGACCCCCAGAAGGACACCAAGACCTCCAGGAGGACACTGAGACCCTGGAAGGACACTGTGAGACCCTGGGGGGACACTGAGACCCCTCAGGAATCTGTTCCCCCCCCCGGCACTTCAGGAAATCTCAGGAAAAGCAGCTCTGTCCCAGAGCCAGCTGTAGGATCCTGCAGCATCCCCTATTTCCCCTAAAAGCTCTGGGGTGACATTTGGGGCTCCCCTCACAACGCCCCAAAAGGCAGCAGGAAGCACAGCCCAACCCAGCCCAACATTTGGGGGTTTCAGGGCTGGGAGCCCCAAATTCTGGGGGTTGGGAGAGCGTTCACAACGGGATTGGGGTTGGGATTTGGGGTTGGGATTTAGGTCAGGATTTCAGTCGGGATTTGGGGCTGGACTTGGGGCTGGGTTTGGGTCGGGATTTGGGATGGGTTTGGGGCTGGATTTGGGGCTGGATGTGGTTCAGGATGTGTTGGGATGTGGGGCTGGATTTGGGTTGGATTTGGGTCGGGATGTGAGACTGGATTTGGGATGGGTTTGGGGCTGGATTTGGGTCAGGATTTTGGTTGGGATTTGGGCTGGATTTGGGGCTGGACTTGGGCTGGGATTTTGGTCGGGATGTGGGGCTGGATTTGGGTTGGATTTGGGGCTGAATGTGGGTTGGATTTGGGTCAGGATGTGTTGGGACGTGGGGCTGGATTTGGGTTGGGATTTGGGCTGGATTTGGGTTGGAATTTTGGTCAGGATGTGGGGCTGGATTTGGGCTGGATTTGGGTTGGATGTGGGTCCGGATTTGGGCTGGATTTGGGTTGGAATTTTGGTCAGGATGTGGGGCTGGATTTGGGCTGGATTTGGGGCTGGATTTGGGTCGGATGTGGGGCTGAATTTGGGTTGGAATTTTGTTTGGGATGTATGGCTGGATTTGGGTTGGATTTGGGTTGGATGTGGGTCCGGATTTGGGCTGGATTTGAGATGGGTTTGGGGCTGGAATTTTGGTTGGGATGTGGGGCTGGATTTGGGTTCGATGTGGGTCAGGATTTCGGTCACGATGTGGGGCTGGATTTGGGGTGGGTTTGGGTCGGGATGTGGGGCTGGGAATCCAAACCGTCCCGGGGTGCTCCCGGCGCTTCCTCCCGGGAGCTTCTCCACCTGCCCGGAGCCGCGGGAAGAGCCCGAGACCCCCGCACCGACCCAGCCCCGAGACCCGCGCACCGACCCAGCCCCGGGACCCCCGCACCGACCCAGCCCCGGGACCCCCGCACCGACCCAGCCCCGAGACCCCCGCACCGACCCAGCCCCGGGACCCCCGCACCGACCCAGCCCCGGGACCCCCGCACCGACCCAGCCCCGCTCGGGGTCTCTCTCCCGGGGCTGCCGGGACCCCGTGGAGCGGAGGATAACGGGACCGGTGCCGGCACCCCAGTGGAGCCTCGGTGCTGCCCGAGGCCTCCCCAAGCCGTGGGGCCCGGTGCCGGTAACCGGGCGTGAGGGCGGGACTGGCCGTGCCAGCCCCGTCCCGTCCCGCTCCCACCGGCGGCTCCGCTACCGGGAGCGGCACCGAGGCTGCGCCAGCGGAGCCCGGCACCGACAGGGCCAGGAATGGAGCGGAGCCCACCCCGAACTGTCCCCGTGTGCCCCCCCCCGTGTGTCCCTCCCTTGGTACCTCCCGGTGCCGGTGCCGGGTCCGGGTCCCGCCGGCCGCCGCTTCCGGACCCGCCGCCACCTCTGACCCCGGAAGGGAAAGTCCAGAGCGAGGCTGCGCTGGCAGCGACCATTGCCGGCCGTGGGAGGGACCCGGGAGAGACCATTCATAGTGGGAGGGGGGAGGTCAGTGGGGCTGGGAGAGACCATTCGGGGCGGGCAGGGGGGAACAGTGGGGCTGGGAGAGACCATTCCAAAGGGGGGGAATCAGTGGGGTGAGGGCAAAATCATCCCCGTGTGGACGGGGGTGTCTATGAGGCGACCAAGGGAGAGATCATTCCACTCCTTGGGGGGGGTGTGCAGTGGGTCTGGGAGAGACCATTGTCCCCCCATGGGGGTGTGCAGTGGGATCTGGAAGAGACCATTCCCTTCCTTGGGGGATGTGCCAGGGGGTCTGGAAGAGACCATTCCCCAGTGGAGGGGTGACCATGGGGCTGGGAGAGACCATTGCGTGGTGGTGAAGGGGGAATCCATAGGGCTGGGAGACACCATTCCCCACATGGGGGGGATCAGTGGGGCTCGGGACAAACTATTCCCTGTGGGACAGGGGGGGCTTGGCGGGGCAGACCATTCCCTATGGGACAGGGGGGTATCCATGGGGCTGGAAGACACCATTCCCCACATGGGGGGGGGGAACAGTGGGGCTCGGGACAGACCATTCCCTATGGGACAGGGGGGTATCCATGGGGCTGGAAGACACCATTCCCCACATGGAATCAGTGGGGACACCATTCCACATGTGGGGATCAGTGGGGCTTGGGGCAGACCATTCCCTATGGGACGGGGGGGGCTCGGGACAGACCATTCCCTATGGGACAGAGGGGTGTTCATGGGGCGCCCCACCCCCTACCAAAACCAGACCCCCCCCAAAGACCCCTCAGCCCCCCAAAACCACTCGGCACCCTCTGTACAGCCGTTTATTGCGGGCGGGGGGCTCTGCTCGCTCGGGGCCGGGGGGCAGCAGCCAGGGGGGGCCGCCAGCACCCGGGGCTCCCATCCCCGGCTCCTCCATCACCGGCAGCCGGGGGGTGGGAGGGGGCGGCCGGGGCTGTGCGGGGGTCCCGGCGTGTCCCGGCACGGCCCGGCACGGCGCGGCACAGGGCGCACGGCAGGCGAAGCGCAGGCAGCGGGCGGGGGGCAGCCGGGGGGCACGGGCGAAGCTGCGGGGGCCGGCGGGGCCGGGCGGGGCCGGTGCCCGGTGCCCGGTGCCCGGTGCCAGCTAACTGGTGCCCAGCGGGAAGGTGGGCGAGTGGCGCTCGGTGCCGATGGGACGCGAGGGAACCTCGGCGAACCCCACGTGCCGCCGCTCTGCGGATGGAAACGAGCGGGCTCAGCAGCGCGGTGGCACCGGGGACAGCGGGGATGGAGCGGGGGACAGGCCCCTTCCCCGCCACATACCCCCGGTGCCGCCGTCCTGCTCCTGGCCCGGCTCGTCCTCGTCGCCCTCCGCGCCCTCGGGGTCCTCGGGGATCTCGGACACCGTCAGCGACTTCAGGTCCTCCTCGCGCTCGTCGATGCCGCCGGCGAAGGAAACCTTCTGCCCGCCTGCGGGGAGCGGCGCGGTGCCACCGGGGACACCCAGAGGGGACGCGACACCGAGCCCCGGTGCCCGCCCGGTGTCCCCGGAGAGCGAGCAGCCACGTCCCCTCACTGTCCCTGTGTGTCCCTGCCATCCCCATCCTGCTGCCATCCCTGTCCTGCTGTCCCCATCCTCCCGCCACCCTCATATCCTTGTCCCCCATACCTCCACCACCCTGTCCCCCTCACTGTCGCCATCCTCCTGCCACATTGTCCCCAACCATCCTCACCTCTTCACCGCCCTGTCCCATCCTCCTGCCATCCCGCCATCCTTGTCCCCCACCATCCCCATCCCTCCACCACCTTGTCCCCTCGTTGTCCCTGTGTGTCCCCACCATCCCCATCCTCCTGCCATCCCTGCGCTGCTGTCCCCATCCTCCTGCCACCTTGTCCCCCACCATCCTCAACACTCCACCACTTTGTCCCCTCGCTGTCCCAATCCTCCTGTCACCCCCCCATCCTTGTCCACCATCATTCCCATCCTGCTGCCATCCCTGTCCTGCTGTCCCCATCCTCCTGCCACCTTGTCCCCCACCATCCTCAGCCCTTCACCATCCTGCCCCACCCTCCTGCCACCCCCATATCCTTGTCCCCACCATTCCCAAGTCTCCACCACTTTGTCCCCTGGCTGTCCCAATCCTCCTGCCACACCCCCATCCTTGTCCACCATCATCCCCATCCTGCTGCCATCCCTGCCCTGCTGTCCCAATTGTCCTGCCACCCTCATATTCTTGTCCCCCACCATCCTCACCCCTCCACCACCCCATCCCCTTGCTGTCCCCATCCTTGTCCCCCATCCCTCCACCACCTTGTCCCCTCACTGTCCCATGTCCCCACCATCCCCATCCTCCTGTCACCTTGTCCCCCACCTTCCCCATCCCTCCACCACCCTGTCCCCATCCTCCTGCCACCCCCATATCCTTGTCCCCCACCATTCTCAGCCCTCCACCACTCTGTCCCCTCGCTGTCCCCATCCTCCCGTCTCCGCCATCACCTCCACTGTGTCTGTCCTGCTTCCATCCCTCTGCCATCCCGCTGTCCCCCCGCCACCCCCACCCTCCCGCCACCCCTGTCCCCCCCATCCCCGTCCCCATCCCGTTACCTTTCCGCTTGTGCGCCTTCAGCCCGGCGGGGAAGTAGCTGCGCTCGGCTCTGCCCTGGCTCCCCGGGGCTGCCCGGGCGGGGGTCCATGAGCCCGGGCCACGGCGAGGCACGCGCGGCACCGGGGCGGCACCGGGACCGCGTCACACAGCGGCCGGGGGTCCGGCTGGCGTCACCGGCCCCGCGGGGGACAGGGACGCGTGGGCAGCAAGGACAGCGTGGCAGCCAGCCCGTGTGCCAGCCCTGCCCTTGTCCCCGCGGGCTACAGGGGATGGTGACCCCCGTCCCCACCTCCCCGTGTCCCCCAGGCTCCAGCAATGCTGTCCCCGTGTACCCCGGCGTTCTTGTCCCCGTGTCCCCACACCCCCTGGGCTCCAGAATCCCTGTCCCCGTGTCCCTGTGTCCCCTGAGCTCCAGAATCCCCGTCCCCGTGTCCCCACATCCCCTGGCCTCCAGAACCCCTGTCCCCATGTCCCTGTGTCCCCAAGCTCTGCCATCCCTGTCCGCACATCCTCTGGGCTCTGGCAGGCCTGTCCCCATGTCCTAGTGTCCCCTGAGCTCCAGAATCCCCATCCCCATGTCCCTGTGTCCCCCCAGGCTCTGCCATTCATGTCCCCACACCCCTTGGGCTCCAGAACCCTGTCCCCACGTCCCTGTGTCCTGTGAGCTCCAGAATCCCCATCCCCACGTCCCCAAGGCTCTGATATCCCTGTCCCCGCACCCCTGGGCTCCAGAATCCCAATCCCATGTCCCCATGTTCCCAAGGCTCTGGCACCAATGTCCCCACACCCTCTGGGCTCCAGAATCACCCTCCCCACGTCCCCGTGTCCCCAAGGCTCTGGCACCAATGTCCCCACATCCCCTGGGCTCCAGAATCCCCCTCCCCACCTCCCCGTGTCCCCCAGGCTCCAGCAATCCTGTCCCCGTGTACCCTGGGCTTCTGGTCCTCATGTCCCCACATCCCTGCAGCTCTGGCACCCCCGTGGCTGTGTCCCCACGGCCTCCCTGTCCCCTGGGCTCTGGCAGGGCCATGTCCCCATCCCTCAGATTCCAGCAGCGCCATCACCACATCCCTTGGGCTCCAGAATCCCCCTCCCCCTGTCCCCACATCCTTTGGGCTCCAAAACCCCTGTCCCCATGTCCCTGTGTCCCCAAGCTCTGCCATCCCTGTCCTCACATCCCCTGGGCTCTGGCAGGCCTGTCCCCATGTCCTAGTGTCCCCTGAGCTCCAGAATCACCATCCCCATGTCCCCAAGCTCTGACATCCCTGTCCCCACACCCCCTGGGCTCCAGAATCCCAACCCCATGTCCCTGTGTCCCCCAAGGCTCTGCCATCCATGTCCCCACATCCTTTGGGCTCCAGAATCCCCATCCCCATGTCCCCAAGGCTCTGTCACCAATGTCCCCACACACCCTGGGCTCCAGAATCCCCTCCCCATGTCCCTGTGTCCCCCAGACTGTGGCACCAATGTCTCCACACCCCTTGGACTCCAGAATCCCCCTCCCCATGTCCCCACATCCTTTGGGCTCCAGAACCCCTGTCCCCATGTCCTTGTGTCCCCAAGGTTCTGGCATCCATGTCCCTGCATCCCTTGGGCCCCAGAATCCCCCTCCCCATGTCCCTGTGTCCCCTGGGCTCCAGAACCCCCTCCCCGTGTCCCCATGTCCCCGTGTCCCCTCACCAGACTCGAGGCCACTGTCGGGGTCGCAGCCATCATCGGGCTCCCCGTCGGAGCTGTCCCCGCCGCCCATGCCGCTCTCCAGGTGGGACTGCACGATGCGCTGCACGGCTGGGGACACGCCGGTGTCACCGGGGGCACCGGGGGCACCGGGAGCACCGGACTGTCCCCGCTGTCCCCGCGGGCGGTACCTTTGAGCGAGGGCGGGGTGTAGGCACACGGGTTGGTCCTCTTTGGTTTGAGCAGGCAGCCCTCGCCCGAGCGCTGCGGGGGAACACGAGTCGGGATGGGGGGGCCCGGTGTCCCCAACGGGGGTCACCGAGGCCCCCAGAGAGCCGGGAACCCCCCGGTGAGGTGGGGGCTGCGATGGGGGTCTCACCATGGGGGTGACACCCACCCCATCCCCAGAAATGAGGAGCCTGCTGAGGGGATGTGGCGCTGGGGACACCGTGATGGGACCCTGCCTTGGGGACCTTTCATTGGGGATGGGATATTTGGGACACCGTGATGGGACCCTGAGGTGGGGACCTTGCATTGGGGATGGGAAATTGGGGACACCATGATGAACACCCCACCGTGGGGACCCTGATCCTATGTTGGGGACCCCCATGATGGGGACATTGCCATGAGGATGTGGCATTGGGGACTCTCATTATGGGGACACTGCCATGAGGATGGGTCCCACAATGGGGACATTGCCTTGGGGATGTGGCATTGGGGTCCCCATAATTATGGGGACACTGCCATGAGGATGTGGCATTGGGGTCCCCACAATGGGGACACTGCCATGAGGATGTGGCACTGGGATCCCCCATTATGGGGACACTGCCATGAGGATGAATCCCACGATGGGGACACTGCCATGAGGATGTGGCACTGGGGACACTGCCTTGGGGATGTGGCATTGGGGGTCCCCACAATTATGGGGACACTGCCATGAGGATGGGTCCCACGATGGGGACATTGCCATGAGGGTGTGGCATTGGGGACTTCCATTATGGGGACTCTGTCATGAGGACGTGGCAATGGGGTCCCCACAGTCGGGACACTGCCATGAGGATGTGACACTGGGATCCCCCATTATGGGGACACTGCCATGAGGATGTGGCACTGGGATCCCCCATTATGGGGACACTGCCATGAGGATGTGGCACTGGGGACACTGCCTTGGGGATATGGCATTGGGGGTCCCCATTATGGGGACACTGCCTAGGGGACGAGGTTTTGGGCTGCCCCCGATGGCGACGCCGTTAGGGACACCTCGTGTTTGGATGTGGCACTGGGGACACGGCGCTGGGGACACTGCGGGGGTGACCCCGCCACAGTCACGCGCTGCTCGGCACAAACTGCCCAGCCTGGCTCGGCTCCATGTCCCCATCCCGTGTCCCCGTCCCCGGCGCCGTGTGCCCGTGCCGGGAAGGAGCCGATAAGCTCCGGGCCCCGATAACGCCCCCGGGGGACCCGGGACAGGGAGCGGGGTCGTGTCGGGGGTCCCGGCGCTCACTCACCTGGTAGGGCAGGTTCTCATCCTCTGTGTCAGCGGCGCCGGGGAGAGAAAGGTGAGCGGGACACGGATACCCCCTCCAGGGGTTACCCTGCCCCTCCGTGCCACCCCCTTCCTTGTGTGACACCCCGTCCCCTCCTTGCCGGACATCCCATTCCACAGGTGACACTACATCCCACGTCCCCTCCCTGCCACCGTGTCCCGTTCCAGACACCACGACAGCCACCACGTCCCCTCCCTGCCACCGTGTCCCATCCCAGACACCACGACAGCCACCACGTCCCATCCCTGCCACTGACCCCCGCCCCGTGTCGCAGCCCGGCCCCGCTCACCTGGGGACGAGTGTTCGGAGAGCTGGAAGAGCATGGCCGGCGTGGGCCTCCTCCGGCGGATCTGGGGCACAGATCCGGGGTGTCACCGGCTGGGGACGCCCCGGTTCCCCTGTCCCCTGTGCCCCAGGGACACGTGTGTGCCCGTGTGCGCGCCTGTGGGTGCAGGGCCACCAGCCCACCCGGCGCGGGGTCCCCGCGGTGTCCACAGTGTGTCCCAGCCCCAGGCCAGCTCCTCCGGGAGGCTCCGGCTCCGGCGTGTGCTGAGGATGTCCCCTCGGATCGGGGACAACCGGCGGGGGTGGCTGCACTGACTCCCGGCGTGTCCTGTCCCCTTCATCCCGTCCCTGTGCTCTGTCTCATCCCTGTCCCTGTCCCCGTCCCCCTGGCACAACTCTCGGTGTGCGGGGACCTTGGAGCTCTCTCGTCCTGTCCCCGTCCCTTTTTGTGTCCCCCACGCTGTCCCGTCCGGTCTGTCCCTCCCGTCCCATGCCCTGCCCGCTCCCATCCCCCTTGTCCTGCTCTGCCGGTCCCCCTTGTCCCCTCTGTCCCTTCCGATCTCCCCCGGATCCTTCCCCTCCTTCCCTCTGTCCCCTCCCACCTCCCCCTTGTCCCATCCCCTCTGTCCCTTCCATCCCCTGCCTTGTCCCCTCTGTCCCCTCCGATCCCCCTTGTCCTGCTCTCCCGGTCCTATCCTGTCCCTCCTGTCCCCTCCGATCCCCCTTGTCCCATCCCCTCTGTCCCAACGCATTCCCTCTGTCCCTTCCATCCCCTGCCTTGTCCCCTCTGTCCCCTCCGATCCCCCTTGTCCCATCCCTGCCTTGTCCCCTCGGATCCCCCTTGTCCTGCTCTCCCGGTCCCCTCCCGTCCCCCCTGTCCGGTTCAATCCCCTTTGTCCCCTCCCCTCCCTCCCGTCCCACTCTGTCCCCATCCCCTCCCCGCTGTCCCCGGGGCTCTCCCGTGTCCCCCTCCCGTCCCGCGCGGTCATTCCGGGGGTCCCTCCTCGCGCCGGGGTCACCGGCAGCGCTTTGCCCTGACAAGAGGGGAGACCCCCGAGCTCCCCTGTCCCCTGTCCCCTGTCCCCTGTCCCCTGTCCCTTGTCCCCAGTCCCCTGTCCCCTGTCCCCGGTCCCCTGTCCCCTGTCCCCGGTCCCCGGTCCCCTGTCCCTTGTCCCCTGTCCCCTCACCATCTCCACGGCGCGGGGGTCCAGGTTGCTGGGGGGGGCGGGCACCGAGAACTGGATCTTCTTGCGCTCCTTGGGGTCCATGGCCTTGGCCGGGAGTCACCGGAGCCGGTGGCGGGGGCCGGGGGGGGTCTCTGGCACCGCTACCGAGCGGAGTTCCGTGGCACCCGAGGCTCGGTACGGCGAGGAATGAGAGTGGCGGGAGGTGGGGAAGGCAGAGCCGGTGAGGAGGAGGAGGAGGAGGAGGAAGGAGAGGGAGGGAGGACACGTCTTCCTACCAGGAGCTGAATTATTCATCCCCCCCTCCCCGGGCAGGGGGGCTGAGGCCGCGGTAATGAGCCCTTGGGGAGCCCCCCAGGGGGTTCAGCCAACCTGGGGGGGGGTCCTTAACCCCTTCCCTGCCACGGGGGGCCCCACCTGCAATGGCCGGTTGCGCTGGGACAGGGACGGTGGCTCCGTGTGTGTCCCTGTCCCTTGAGTCTCCCCAGAGGTGTGGGGACAGAGGGACAGGGGACAGAGGGACAGCAGCTCCCACCCCTGTGTGGGCAGCGGCAAAATTGCCCCCACCCGGCTTGTGCCACACGGGACAGGGCCACCACTCTGGAGGGGACATCCGTGGGGACTCCCCAATCATCCCATCCCCTGTGTGCCGGGGTCCCCCCACCCCAAGCTGCAGCCCCCAGGATTTTGGGGGTGCAGGGGCTGCGTCTTCACCCGAAGCTGTGCCCACCTGCCCTGGTTCTTCCCCAGTTTTTTGGAGATTTTCCCCATAGAAAATCCCAAGGGACACAAAATATTCCCCATGGGGAACGGGGGGTTCATCCCGCAGGGCACCAGAGCTGCCAGGAAGGGACCGGGGGACACCCAGGGCACCTCTTCCAGCCCCACAGGGCCACAACCGGGGGGTCCCCTTGGAGTGGGGACAGCCGGAGCGGTGGCTCGTCCCCTCCTGGGATGTCCCGGGGCGGTGTCGATGGAAGCCGCCCGTGAGCAGGAACGAGGAAGGGGGAGCTGGGAACTGGCTCCGTCCCCCGGATCTCCCGGTGCTCCAACGGCTGCGGGTGGCCCTGGGCCAGCAGCCACCGCTCCAGCAAAATATTTACCCGAGTGGCACCGAGCCATGGAGCAGCCTCCCGCCCGCCCGGCACCACGCGGCAAAACACGGCACAGCCCGGCCCTGGTGACAAATCCTGCCTCTGGGTGACAAATCTCGGCTCTGAGTGGCAAAGGCCAGCTCTAGGTGACAAAGTCCAGCTCTGGGAGACAAATCTTGGGTCTGCGTGGCAAATCTTGGCTGTGGGTGACAAAGCTGGGCTGTGGGTGACAAAGCCGGACTGTGGGTGACAAAGCCGGACTGTGGGTGACAAAATCTGGCTGTGGGTGACAAAATCTGGCTGCGGATGACAAACTTGTGCCTGTGGCACAGCGCAGTGAGCACCTGGATGGGGACAAATCAGGCGCCAGCAGAGCTCAGTGTCCTCATGGAGACCAAAACCTGGGGACAAGGTGAGGAGTCCCTCTGCCACCACGCGTGTCCCCGTGCCAGGCTCCGCGCACCGTCCCCATCCCGGGACCGGGAGTCGTTATGGCAACAGGTTCCCGGGCTCCATCCCGCTGCTGTTCCCGCTTCTCCCACCCACGAAGACGCCGTGTGAGGGGGTGGCCGGGCCCCCTCCCCTCCGTGCGCTGCGGCAGCGCCGGCACCCGCAGCCCCCCGGGATCGGCAGGCGCCGCCCGCGCCCGCGCCCACGCAGCGTCACCCGCGGGTGGCACCTGCAGAGTGGCACGGGAATGGGGCGGGGGGGGGGGGTGCCAGGAACACGGGGGGCACCTTCCAGGCACACGTGTGGCACACATGGCCCCGCTCCTCGCCTGCCGCCGGGACAGGCGCACCGTGGGCACCCAGCCCGTGCCCGTGCCCGTGCCGCGGTGCCGCGGGGGCTGCGCGGAGCTGCGGCAGCGAATCCTCCCGCGGAGAGAGTAAAAATAGCAGCGGGGTGAGGCAAGAAGCGCTCGCCCCCCGGCAGCGGGCACCGGAGAGGAGCCGGAGCCCACCGAGGAGCGCTGGGCACGGACGGAGGGTGTGGGCATGGACGGAAGTGGGGACAGAGCGCCGTGGTGGGGGGGCGTGGTGGGGACAGGGTGGGCTGGGGGTGGGACAGCGCGGGGACACGGTGGGCTGGGGGTGGAGCACGGTGGGGACAGTGTCCCATGGGGACAAAGAGCCCCAGGGATGGGCCATGGTGGGGACACGGTGGGCTGGGGGTGGAGCATCGTGGCCAGCAGGGTCTCATGGGGACAAAGTGTCCCCATGGTGGGGACAGGGTGTGTTGGGGATGGAGCGTGGTGGGGACAGTGTCCCATGGGGACAGAGAGCCCCAGGGATGGAGCAGCACGGAGACAGAGTGCTGGGGATGGAGCGTGGTGGGGACACGGTCCCATGGGGACAAAGTGTCCCAAGGATGAGCGTGGTGGGGACACGGTGTGCTGGGGATGGAGCAGCATGGGGACAGTGTCCCACAAGGATGAAGTGCCCCAGGGATGGGCCATGGTGGGGACAGGGTGTGCTGGGGATGGGGCATGGTGGGGACAGTGTCCCATGAGGATGAAGTGTCCCAAGGAAGGACCACCATGGGGACAGGGTGTGCTGGGGATGGAGCATGATGAGGACACGGTCCCATGAAGGTGAAGAGCCCCAGGGATGGGACATTGTGGGGACAGGGTGTGCTGGGGATGGGGACACAGTCCCACGAGGATTAAGTGTCCCAGGGATGGGCCATGGTGGGGACGGGGTGTGCCGGGGACAATGTGGCGCTGCAGGGACAGGGTGCCACGGGGACAGGACACGGCAGGGACAGGGCCTTGCGGGGACACCGCATCGCGGGGACAATCGCCCGGTCCAAGGGTGAGTGCCGGGGGTGGGCGGGGCCTGTGCGCGGAGGGGGCGTGGCCACAGCATGGGCGGGGGTCGGCTCGGGGGTGCAGGGACCCCCCCTCAGTGCCCTTGTCCCCTCCGTGTCCCCTCCCTGGGCTGAGCCCCCCGAGCCCCCCCTGCACCCCAGGACCCCCCCGTGGGTGCAGCCCCCCCCGGGAGCCGCAGCGGGGGCGGCGGGAGGGGGCCGGTGCTCCCCTGGGTGCCGGCAGTGGGAACACGCGTGGGAGCGGAGCACGCGTGGGAGCCCGAGGGGGCGGGGGGAGAGGGGAGGGGGTGTGCAGGGGGTTTAACCCTTTCACTGCCGGGAAACCCACCCTGGGGGGCTGCGGAGTGGGGATGGGGGCATGGGAGGGACGTTCCCTAAATGGGGGTGCACGGGGGGGGCTGGGGAAGGGGCACCCCCTGCCCTGCTCGGGGGTGCGATGGGGAAACTGAGGCAGGACTGGGGGGGTGCAACCCCATATTTTTAGCGTGATGTGGGGTGGTCTGCAACCCCAAAAAAGTGTGGGGACGCAAGGAGGGGCCGTGTCCCCCGATTCTCGGCAGGATGGGGGGACATTCCCTGGCAGGACAAGGGTGGCAGTGTCCCCACATTGTGTCCCCACACCTGGCAGGACAAGGGTGGCAGTGTCCCCACATTGTGTCCCCACATTGTGTCCCCTCACCTGGCCGTGTCCCCAGCTCACCGAGGAGGGGTCGCACCCCTGAACCCCCCAGCAGGGCGGGCAGGGGGGCTGCACACCCCGGGCTGTGCCCGCTCCTGGTGCCCTCACCGGCGCCGTGTGCCCGCCGAGGCAGATGTCACCGGCGGCGCTGGCATGGCCAGGCTGGCACGGCCACCCCGGGCTGGCACGGCCGCGTGGGCTGGGCAGCGGCTCAAGGGCTTTGGCACGGCGTGGCCGGAGCGGAGCCGCGGCTGGAGCCGCCCTGGCTGGCCCGTGCCAAGGCTCACACCCACCCCAAAGGGTGGCACTGGGGGCTCTGGGGGCACTGGGGGGTCCTGGGTCCCATGCCAAGGCTCACACCCACCCCAAAGGGTGGCACCGGGGGCTCTGGGGGCACTGGGGGGTCCTGGGTCCCATGCCAAGGCTCACACCCACCCCATGGGGTGGCATCGGCGGCTGGGAGAACACTGGGGGGTCCTGGGGCACCCACCCAAGCAGGGGCTGTGATATTTGGGGGGGGTCATGCCCGCAGAGCCCGGTGCCAGGGTGTGCCCGGCCCCAGGAGTGGCTGAACGGGTAAAACCTGGAGGGGAGGATAAAGGGGGGAATGTGGGGCGGATAAATTTGGGGGGTTCAAGGGAAGGGGTGCAGGGGTGAGGCAGCCCGGGGCTCTCCTCTGCCTGAGGGGGACACCACGTGCCTCAGTTTACCCACCTGTAGCGCGCAGTTTACCCCCTAAAGCCCCTCCCACCCCTTCCCTGCGGAGCTGGGACCCCAAAAATGATCCCAAATCTCCTCCAGGTGCCCCACAGAGCCCTGCCAGGGTGGGCTCAAGGCGGGGGGCTCCCATCCCCGCTCCCCCCAACCCATCCCTGACCCCCCCCCGGCCGCCAGCACAGCCCAGTTCGCCGCCTCCATTCCCAGAAGAAAGAATAAAGTTAAAACATCTGTTAATTTATAAACCAATTTAACCATGACTGGTTAATAAATAGCTTCCAGCTGGCACCCCCACCCCGCGCCGGGCAAGGGGGGGCCAGGGGGGCACAGCCGGGCCCGCCGCTCTCCCGCAGCCCCCCCCAGGGTCATTGTCGCTTGTCCCCGAGGGGGTGTGGGGGTGTCCCCCGGGGGTTTAACGGGGACAGCCCGGGGCTGGCAGGGCGGGGAGGGGACACGGGCACGGTGCCTGGCACAGCGGGCACACAGGGGACACAGAGGGGCTCTGGTCGTGCAGGGGGGGCTGCGGGGATGCGGTGAGGGGGGGTTTGGGAAGGGGAGGAGGGAGCAGGGAAGGAGTCTGGGGATGATGTGTGTGTGTGTGTGTGCCAGGGATGGGCACGTGTGTGTTGGTGTGTGTGTGTGTGCCAGCGCTGTGCACATCTGCACGTGTGTGTGCCAGGCGTGTTCATGCGTGTGTGCCACCCACAGTGCCCCCCACCCCATCTCTGCTGTCCCCAAGGAGCGCCATCCTCACTGTGCACGGATCCAGGATGGAAAATGCCCTGCCCTGGCATTGTGGGGTGCCCATCGCTGCCCACCACCCCCTCTCT